TACAAGCCATGCTTTTAATAGTATTATTTTAAATCTATAGCTTTATTACCTCAAAGATAGTAGAACATATCTTTAAAAAATTAAGTCAAAAGAAGGAAACAAAGGTAAAAGGAAAATAAAAATTAAGAGAAATAAAAATCATGCATGTAAGACGATAAAATAAGCTCAAAGAAACCAAACTTTCCAGTTAAAAGAGAAATATTGTCAGATTTGACTTTTTTAAAAAGATCTAGTGACGTGATATTTAAAGAACAAATCTGAAATAAAAAGCTACAGATAAATTAGAAGATGAAGTATGAGAAATACAGAGTAGAAGAAAGCTGAAGATTTACTAATATAGACCAAGAAAAGGGCAGAAAGCATTACTAAACAGGATTGTTGTATAATAATAAGAAGTTCAATAAGTCTTCAAGATGTAATAGTTCTACATTTTTATGGACCTAACAAAAATAGCCTCAGCATGTTTCTTTGTGATAGATATTGCCAAATTGCCCTCTATAGGGGCTGTCCTAATTTTTGCGGTCACCAGCAATGAATGAAAGTACCTGATTTCTTACACACCAGAATGTTACCAAATTCTTAGATGTTTTGTTGCTTTGATGGGTGATAAATGGCATTCTTAATGTTATTCAAATTTTTTTCTTATTATGAGTGAGACTGAACACAATTTCAAACATTTAGAGCTTTCTATTTTGTGTCCATTCCTGGCTTTTGCCTATTATTTTGTGACAGTGTTGTGCTAAAGCCACTTATACCAGTTTATCAGAGCCAATTGTTAAATTTTCAGGAATTTTATAAGCTGGTCAACATCACATTAGTAGCTGAAATCAATGGGAATATTTATACCATGGAAATTGGAAAACACCACAAATCAATAGAAATTCCTTCAATCCTAGCTGATTGTTAAACATTTATTACAACTGCTTCCTGTGAGCCCATTATACATTAAGGAAATTAGCCCTTTGTGATATGAGTAGCAAATATTTTTTCCTAATTTGTCATTTTCTTGATTTGTGTGTAGTTTTCTTTTTGCATGCCAAAATTTAAAAAAATTAAAAAGTAAAATTTATCTTTTTTTGTCAAATGGCTTCTAATTTCAAGTCATAGTTAGAAAGGACTTTTCTACAGTTACAAAGGAATTCTCCCATTTTTTCTTTCAGAATGGTTATGGTTTTATATTTTATTCTTAGTCCATTTGTTCTTTTTATTGGTGTGAAGTATAAAGGATGGATCCTACTTATTTTTCCAAAACAAAACATCAAATAAGATCCCATAATGAGCCAGATCCCATAAGATCCCATCAAATAAGATTCCATAATGTATTTTCAAAATGTAACACATTATGCTAAACTCATATCAGTCCTCGTGGGGTGAAGCAAAAACAATGACAGAAAATCATTGACTTATGTTTATATTGGAAGAAGGACTGAATTAGGAATTTGTTTCTAATTTGTTAGCAAAAGAACAGAATATACCCAAAGATGAATAGGAAGGAAATAATAAAGAATAAAAATTGATGAAACAAGAAATGAACATTTCACTAGAGAAGATAAAGAAATATAAAATTGGTTCTTTTAAAATACTAATAAAATAGACAACCTTTCAGAATGGTCTATAGGGAAAATAATTATTCTTAATAAACTATTGAGAATGATAAAGTAGGTGTTAGTGTAGATCAGTAGAGCTTTAAAGGTAGTAGGAGAAAACTATGACAATTTTATGTAAGTGATTTAAAAATAAATTGTACAAATTTCAGGAAAACCTAAAACTTTTTCTTCAAAGAAACAAACAACTTGGTTTAATAGTTGTAAGACTGCTCATTAAAAATTTGAATCAGAGGCCGGGCGTGGTGGCTCACGCCTGTAATCCTAGCACTTTGGGAGGCCGAGGCGGGCAGATTGCTCAAGGTCAGGAGTTCAAAACCAGCCTGAGCGAGACCCCGTCTCTACCAAAAATAGAAATAAATTAATTGACCAACTAAAAATATATATACAAAAAATTAGCCGGGCATGCTGTGAGCCAAGCTGACGCCACGGCACTCACTCTAGCCTGGGCAACAAAGTGAGACTCTGTCTCAAAAAAAAAAAAAAAAAAAATTTGAATCAGTAGTTAAAATTCCATCACCCTGCCCTCACCCCACCAAAAAAATAATTAAAATAGAAAAGATACCCAAAAAATTGCTACCATGCTCAGATGGTTATGCATAAAAGTTGTATCAAACATCGACTAATTCTAATCTTACACGAACTCTTAGAGAATAGAGAAAGAGGGACTAATTCTCTCACTGGTTTTATGCAACTGATGTGACCTTAGTACCAAGTACAATGGAGATATGCTGTTATGTGGGTGTGTATGTCATGACTGTGTGGGTTTAGCCCATGTTTAATATTTAAGAATTTATTGATATAGTTCACATTCAGGAGAAAAACCTTCTTAAAAGGTATAGATATCAACAAATTAAACTGCCATTTATGACAGAAATTCTTGGCAACTAGGAATAGAAATATGAATTTTCTTAACCTGTTGACATGTCATACTTATTGTGAAATTCCAGAAATGTTTTTTAAAAATCTGGTTTGAGTCAACAATGACTGCTCTTACTGCTTCTATTTAGCATTGTATTGCATCACCAGGACAGCTAAATGGTTTGAAGGGAAGAAATTAATGTCTTATTTGTAGATGATATTCTATTTAGATAACCTCAAACAATCTACATACAAATTAGTAGAATTAATAAAAGTTTAGCAAAGTTCCTAGATTTTAGATCAAATTATAAAGATTATATTCTTATATGTCAACAATAGGAAATACAATTTAATAAAATATGTGTAATAGAAAAAAGCATCTTTGAAATAAGTCTATGAAATTTGAGTAATACCTTTGGAGAAATTATCAAACTTTATCAAAAGTCATTGAAGAAAGTTAAAAAGTGAAGGTTTAATGAATGGAAAGATCAGTATCATCAGATCAGTAAGATCAGATTATCACAAATTGCACATAATGCAGGAATTCAACATTTCAACAGTTCTTTTTATTGTGTCTGCACATGCATATACAAGAGTGCATATACAAAAGAACATAAGAAAAAGTGAATTGACTTGCCCTACCAAATCATAGGATTTTGTTTTTAAAAAGCTAATCACAACATTGTGATGTTGCACAGGCCAGTGTGACAGACTAGACAACTAAGAAACAGATTCATGCATATATAAGTACTCGGTAAACAACAAAGGTGGCATTGAAAATCAATAAGAAAAGAGTTAAGTACATTTATTTGAACATTGGTTAGTCATATGGAAAAAATAAAGTAGATCTTTCCTTTACCCATACATATGTGTCCTTACAAATAAAAAATTGAGCAGAACAGTGAGTTTTAGAAATATATATATCTTATGTTATAATTTTACAGTTTTCTAAATATACAAAAATGCCATATATTTCTTGGTCATGATAGTGCACATATTTACCAAGGAAGAAACACAAGGGAATGCTAAACACTGGGTTTTGGATTGTGTTATCAAATGGTGGGGGAAAGTGGAGGAAACGAGGTTAGCAAAGAGGTTTTTTGTTTTTTATTTTTTAAGCTGAGTGAGTATACATGTTTATTTAAAAAAGATTTTTGTGACCTAAAAATAATAAATTTAAGATAAATTAAAATCAGTTTTTTCATGTTCACTTTGCTTGTGTGACTGTCTTGATTTAGCTTGATGACTTCTGTAGGAAACTCAAAGGTTCTCACTCATAGCTAGCCAGCCATCTGGTCAGCCATTTAGACCAATATAGTGTGATATTGCATCTGTTTATTTATTTCTTCATCTGTAAAATGGGAATAATCGTCTCAATGTGTTGTTGTGAGGATTCTGAGTTGATACATATGAGTAAATGGTATAGCTTTTCATTTAGGATAGATTCTAGAATGTGCATATAATTATTTTCTTAGACTGCCATTAAAAGTCATTGATTCTTTCCAGTTTTAATTTTTTTAAAAATGCCGTGCTTCTATTGCTCCTTACCTTCCTTTCTGGGACATTTTTCAAGCCTTAGGATTTGTTTTCTGTGTTACTTTTCTGGAAGCTTTGCCACATGCTGTGATAGATGTGATTTTGAACAACATAAAAGCCAGTGTGAATTCAAATTGGTTTATGTTTTCTCTATCAGATTGCTGTTCTGATTGAATTATGGCAGGAGAGGCATTTTGTGCTCTCTTGAAACCAAAGAAGCCCTGTATTTAAAATAAGTTTAATTCCCAGTCATACTATTTTGATCACCAATGATTTTGTGTTTCTGAATTCATTTTTATTTTTATGTCTTCATGGTTTAATAATTAGGGTTAATTTTTTTCATAACTGTCTACAACACTGAATTACTTTTAGGCTATCATTTTTCTGGGTACTCCAAATATTGATTGATTTTAGCTTTATCTTTTACATCCTAGAAACTTATTGATATGCATGCTTTAAAATAGAAGTTTAAAGTTACATATAAAAACATTTATTCACTGGGGAGCTATAGCTTTTCTGATTGCTGAGTTAAGAAGGTAGAGTTTTTTGGGGGGGTTCTTTTGCATTCTTTTTTCTATAGTATTTTTCTTACAATGATAGTATTTTCAGTTTCTGGAAATTTGTCAGATTTGTAGACAACAAAAGAGAATTTATTCTGGAAAAATTTGTGGAAAAAACTTCTCAAATGGATATCACCTCATCTGAAAATCGAATATGCTAAAATAAGTGAAACCTAAGCACCTGTAGGTCCATGGCTCCCTCTCAGGAGCAGGAGTTCCTACTGTGTCTGTAGAACACATGTGTGTAGATCATACATACATATGTGTGCACACAGACATGTCAGACCTCATGTGGGATGGACCTGGCTCACGTAGAAGCTCCTGCTCCCCATGGAGTTGGCCCACTCAGTGCCGCTCACTTGGGGTGTGGGTTCTTTTCTTGAACAGGTAGCACTTACTGGAAATGTTATGGAAACACTGTTTTTCCTGTGTCCTTCAGGTCGCATCCGCACGAGAAGGCAAAGCTCTGGGAGTGCCACCAACGTCTCCTCTACACCCTCTGATAATCGGGGCCGCAGCCGTGCTAAAGTTGTTTCACAGTCCCAGCGTAAGAAGTGTATTTTATGCTCTTGGTTACCTTGGTTTTATTCAACAGCCCATGCTACAGTTGAATATTTTTCAGTATTTACATTGACTTCAGGGAGAAAAACTCATTTTTGTGGCTCTAAGATACTGTGAGTAATCTTATTGTTTGTTGGGTAAGTGTACAAAATGGAGCATTCCAGGCATACTCTTGTCTCCTTTCCAGATGGTTTAAATTTTGTATAGTTAAGCATTAAACATTAAAAGGTAGTTTCTCTCCCTCTTTTGAAGCCTCTCAAATTGAAACGTATCTGTTCTGTGACTCATTTTTGTGTTGATAATGAATCGTCTTATGTAATTTTAGAGTAGTACTGGGCAGAACTGTTAATGCTGAATTCTTTCTAGTGGCAAATAAGTAAATCCATTAAAAGCTCTCCCCCTTTAACCCTCTCCTCTAACATTGCAGCCTGCACCTCTCTTCTTGCCGGTGTGGGCCCCGGCTTTGCCTAGCTGCTCCTGCTTCCATAACTGCTGCTCTATGTATGTGAAGTCAGTTGGTTTGTTAGCCTCAGGCGTGAAAGCAGCCATAGCTGGAGTGCAATTGTTCTGATCACGCTTAGGAGCCAACCTTGGTGTCTCACTTTCCAGCTACATGTAAATTTGAGTGGCCCCCTCCCTTTCTGCGCACATAGAGTAGAGCTGGGTATCACAGTGCTCCTGGGCAAGGTGAACTCAGGAAGGAAGAATCTTCTGTCCCCAGGAGCCGCATGCAGTCCCTCAGCACAGCACTCATTGGCTGACATGTGTCTACCTGCTCTGTGGCTCCAGGAGCTGTCTGGCTTTTGTAGAGAGCACTCAGTCTGCAGCCAAACCTTAGGAGCTGTCTTAGTATTGAGAATGCTTTTCTTAACTCCCTCTGAATTTAAATTTTTTTCCATGTATGTCCCTTTGATAACTGTAGTCTTCATGTTAAATAAGCTTATATCCTTTCTGCAAAGAAAGCCAAAGGTCAGTCATACTACTGCCTTTGGTGAGGTGACCTTTTTGTGTCATAGGTTGTATTGTGTAGTATGGTACACTACAAGCAGGGGCTTCCGTGTCAGATAAACCTGGGTTTGCGTCTTGGCTCCAATGTGATGGGGGAGTCTTTTAACCCTTAGGAGCCTTTGTTTCACCATCTATAAATTCAGTGATAACAAGTCCCATCCACATGGGGCTTTTGTGAGGATTTAGTGAGAATCATGAGCCTAGCATGTGATGGACACTCAGCAAATGGAAGCATGTTTTCCAGCCATAATTGCTTCAGGTTGGCAGACTCCTTTCCTAGCTGAGGTTGAGCAGCCTTCACATTTCCTTCTCCTTTCTCCCTGTCAACTTTAGTAGGGTCAGGAAAGAAGGCTAGGGGTGTATTTGTACAGTGAGCAATATAAATAAGGATAGAGTTAGTCCATTAAGAGCAAGAATGCCCTACTTACTATAGAACCTAATCTGGATTTTCATTCAGATTCAGGGTGCAGGTGTAGCCCAGGAGCTTCTACCTTAGGAACAACATCCTGGCTCTGGTTGTTCTCTTGAACCCTGGTGACCCCTGCAGACACAGAAGTATATAATGCTATGTCATGACCTCATAAATATGGGTTAAATCTTACTGCAAAGGAATTCTTGACAAAAATTATTTAAATCTCAGAATATAGACTCAATGAAATTGAGTCAAATGAAGAATGTCTGAGCCTTTAACTGTGTAGCATTATTTCCTTCTATGGAGTATGAAGGTTGAACAGTGTTTTTACATTTTGGTTTGTGTCTACTGTTTATCAGCATTGGCCTCTTCAGGGTTTCCTACCCCGGCTGGGTCAGCACTGTATTTCTCTATATATATTGTAAACTTTAGGAATCTATATGTTATCTCTGCTTTATGAGGTGGCAGAGATTGAAGTTCCTTCTCTAGTAGGGTGAGGGTGATGATAGAGCTTTAATTGTTCAGTCTTATAAAAGTACTACAAGAATACTGTAAGTACTCTTACCTTGGGGCTCTACTTTTAAAACTCTTCAGTTTTACTTTACTAAGCAAAGTACACTAAGGAAGGGAGACTACACCAAACACTAGCAAATGATCGAGCCAACACCTTAAGCTTATGCCTATAAATTAAATATTTTTTAAAAATTATTTTAATAAGAGATAAATATGAGCATATTTTTATATATTACAAATACAGATACATTAGTATTCATAGTTCTGGTTTAATACTAAGTAGATTTCATTAATATTAGATTTAGGGCTCTTAATAATTGATATATTTTAAATATTTGAAGATTAAGAGAAGTCATAGGACATTTAGGTGAATCTAATAGCATTTTGTTAAGTGCATTGATGTTTATTGAGCACCTACTATCTGGTAAGCACTGTTGAAGATGGTAGTGATACACAGATGAGGAAGTTATGATCACTTCCCTCAGGTTGCTTAAAGCTAAAGAGTAGCTGTTCTCTGGGAAGAGGGCAGCTGCTTGTCTTACTCATCTCTGCATCTTCTAAGCCCAGAACTGTTCGTAAATGTTTTATGAACAGATCTGAAATAAGTGCCAATGTAGGATGATTAAACATAAGTACAGAAATAGACAAAGAGGAACAAGTCCTGGAAAAAGCAGCTATTTTGCTAATGTGTTTGTGAACAATGACATTTGTGTTGTGTTGCATGCTGACCTGCTGTATTGTGTTATTGTCTTTTAATCTACTTTTTGCCTGTCCTTTGGTCTGCTCTCATAATCAAGGATCCAGATCTGCTAATCCTGCTGGTGGTAAGCCATCTTTTCTTGCCTTTTTTGTTTTTTTGGCATTCTTCCTCACCCTGTGTTCCTTGTACAATATTAATTTCTTTCTCTGTATTATGAGCTTAGTTAATCTTTCTGCATTTTTTTCTGTGTGTTCAAATTCTAGAGTTTGAAATGGATTTCTTTTCCTCTTATACATAGCTTAATAGTTTAATTGTGTGCTTAAATTTTATGGGCAAAATTAGTAGGTCCTGAGACAAATTCTTTATAATAATGTATATTGCTGATTTCACAATGATTTTTCACTTCACATTGTAGTTAAATCATTATAAATATTGAGTTTTGTGAGTAGTTGCCTAAGTGATTCATTTGAATGATGGTAGTTTTGATATATATTATTTTAAAATTATATATACATGTATGTATGTGTGGGGGGGGGTTTAAAAAATTTCCATGTAAGTATTTCAAAGGTTTTTTTTCCTCTGGGTCCTTCTATTCTAGTGCAACAAATGTGTACTTTACATTTTAGAATTGCATTGCTTTCTCTGCTTAAGGAAATGATCTAAGTAAATGGCTGCCACTTGGGTGAATTGGCATGATGTTTAAAATTTTACTGTTTTCTCAGAATTTTGTCTCACAAAAAATGATTATATAGCTATCTGGCTGCTTAGCTATTAATAAAAGTTACCAGCCATATTATTTGTTTTTAATTTGCAATTTTATTGCATACTTCTCAGAGAATGTGGTCTATGTTATTTCTACTTTTATAGATTTTTGAGATTTGCTTTGAGGCTTCTTAGCATATAGTTGAGTTTTGTATTATTCAGGCATATATGGATGAAAAGATGTGTGTTCTGTTTGTTGGAATATACATGTGTATGTGGAAAGTATGTGCGTATGCATACATAAACACACAAAATACACACAATTTGGACTGCTCTGTCAATTTCTATGACATATGTTAGTCTTCCATTAGTTATTAGGTTGGTACAAAAGTAATTGTGGTTTTGGACTGTGAATTTTAAATCGTTATAACTAGGCTCAAACACATCTTTATCAGTCAAAGTAGGAACCATTACAAGCAACACATTTTTGCCAACAAGAAATATGTTTGTTCCTGTAGCGTAAAAATCCATGCTTCAGGATTCCACAAACTCTTTTGGAAAGAGTTTCCGTATCCTGCTCCTTGTGGAAGCGTTTTCCTGCAAAAAGTTGTCGAGATGCCTGAAGAAATGGTAGTCAGTTAGCTAGAGGTCAGGTGGATATGGCAGATGAGGCAAAACTTCATAGCCCAATTTGTTCAACTTTTGAAGCGTTGGTTGTGCGATGCACAATCGGGCATCATTGTGGAGAACTGGGCCCTTTTTGTTGAGCAATGCTGGCTGCAGGCGTTGCTGTTTTTGGTGCATCTCATCCATTTACTTAGCAGACTTCTCAGATGTAATGGTTTTGCAGGGATTCAGAAAGCTGTAGTGGATCAGACCAGCAGCAGACCACCAAACAGTGACAATGACCTTTTTATTGTTACAAGTTTGGCTTTGGGAAGTGCTTTGGAGCTTCTTCTCAGTTAAACCACTGACAGTTGGTCATCATCGGTTGTCAGATAAAATCTACTTTTGTTTGCACATCACAATCTGATTGAGAAATGGGATGGTTCATTTTTGTTGCACAAAAGAAGGAAAACAGCACTTCAAAACGATGATTATTTTGATTTTTGGTCAGCTGATGAGGCACCCACTTAATGAGCTTTTCCACCTTTCCAGTTTGCTTCAAATGTGGAACGACCGTAGAATGATCAATGTTGGGTTCTTTGGCAATTTCTTGTGTAGTTGTAAGAGGATCAGCTTCAATGATTACTCACAGTTGGTCATTGTCAACTTCCAATGGCTGGCCACTGTGCTCTTCATCTTCAAGGCTCTGTCTCCTTTGCAAAACTTCTTGAACCACCACTGCCTTTTACATTCATTAGCAGTTCCTGGGCCAAATGCGATGTTGATGTTGCATGTTGTCTCTGCTGCTTTAGACCCATTTTGAACTTGAATAAGAAAATCACTGGAATTCGCTTTTTGTCTAACATCATTTCCATAGTCTAAAATAAATATAAACAGCAAGTAATAAGTCATTAACAAAAAAAAATGAAGCGAGAAATGCACATTAGAATGATACATAACATAACCACATTTAAAAATATATTCCAATATCAAAGGTCAAATTTCAACACTGCTAAAACTGTAGTTACTTTTGTACCAACCTAATAGTCTATGAGGTCTATTGTGGCTTTTTCCATTTCTCCCTATATATTAGAAGAGATATTATTTTATGATATTTAGTGATTTTTTTATGCTCCTACATTTTAAAAAAATTAGTACTACTACCAACTAAAAATCTTATTTTTATGTAAAATTCTCTTAGTATTTGATCCAAGTTAATGTGTAAAAAAACTGGCTTCTGAAATTATTATAATTTAGTCCCTGATTTGCATCTTTTGTTTTGCTTCCTTTTTAGCTGGCAGCCGGTCAAGTTCCCCAGGAAAATTGTTGGGAAGTAGTTATGGTGGACTTGCTGGGGGTTCCTCAAGAGGCCCACCTGTGACACCATCTTCAGAAAAGCGAAGCAAGATTCCCAGGAGTCAGGGATGTAGCCGAGAAACAAGTCCCAACCGAATAGGATTAGGTAAGGATTTTCAAAGATCTTGGAATGCCATTCCCAGCTTGATCATAGTTTTGATTATAATCTAATAATTGTGTCTAATATAGTAAGTAGAGATTTATTCTTGAACTGAGGATGTCACTTTCCCTGTATTAAAAAGACATTTTAGTTTATTTTTTATACAGATTATAGCATGTTTAGGTTTCAGTTAGAAAAATATGTGACACTTATAGTTCAAAATGATGAGAAGGAATTAAGTCATTGTAGGTTTTTGTGTGACATAGTAATTTTACAAAGCATTGGAATTGGGGGAATAGCAAGGGTTTTCCCTCACTATTAGAAGCAACATTGCTTTTCATTTTCTTTTCACTAAGTAGTCATTAGCCCGTATGAATTTTCAAAGCAATTTTTAGAGTCCGTGTTTTTTAATTTGATCTTCTCTAGCCTAATTGTTTAAACTGTGGTTAAAAGAATGTGTAGTTGCTTTTGATATAATTCTGTTTAAACACAATAGCTACATATTGATGAAAACCAATATATAATCTTTATTTTTGTGTTGGAGTATTTAGTTTCTTTGTAATAGTGTGTATAATCATGTGAATTACTCTCAGCAACTTAAAGACCTTTTATTCTATTAAAATCTAATTCATATGCTACCTTTTTAATATAAAATTTAGAAGTCTGTGATATAATACAAAAAATCTAAATTCATGCTCTTTATGACATCTTTTTAAGGGCAAAAATCTATTTATAAAATCAGATTATTATATTCTTCAGTCACGTTGGCTTATCTTTCTCATTTTCATTTATCTCCTCAACAATTTTTACTTTAATGTTTACTCTGATGTACCAGGCATTTTGTTAGCCCTGAGAATTAGAAGACAGATAGATTTAGATTCTGACTTCAGAGAGCTTGTGATCTACTGGGGAGAGATAGAATCACAGGACAGTATAACAGATACTATGAGAAGGTGCTCTAGTACCATAAAAAAGTAGTGTCTTAGACCCTTGCTCACCCCAATCCTCCCAGAGTTCCCGCTAATGGAGGCTTCCCAGAATAGGTCCTGTTTTAGTGAAGGACATGGTGGGATTAGCCAGGGTGGGGAGATAAAGAGGGAGAGAGGCACATAAAGAAGCAGTCAGGTGAGAGAGAGTCAGAAATAATTCATTTGGCTGCTGCAAAGGAAGTTTGTCAGCGTGGATGGGAGTTGAGGGCAGAGACTGGTAGCGTCCAGCTACGAGAAGGCAGGCACAGATATTTAAGAATCAATAGGATTTGGTTTGAATGCATATTTCCGAAGCAAGTAAAAAGTATTTGGTGATTTTGTTAATTTCTATGATGCCAACTTTCTATTGGCATTATGTAGCTTAGTCTCTGAGCTGACAAGTTATTTGGGTGTTGATGTGGATACAACAGAAAAGATCACAGCTGGAATATCTAAATTTCATATCTCATGCTGTAACGTGTGTGTTTGGGTCTGATTTTGCTTGGAAAATGCATTTGATTTAAATCTAGGTGTTAGGCTTCAGCTGTCCTTTTTCCATACTTAATTGTTTAAGTTTATAGGATGGTCTGTTTGTAATCCCTGTTAGCTTTATACTTGTAAAATACCTTTTTTGTTTTGGAATTTTTCTTTTTATATGTATTAGAGATGACATTTTAACCTTCTTGAAGTTGGGAAATAACCTAACTTCATTTATCTAACATACCTCTAAGACTTGGTGTTTCCATGATCTTAACTATGAAGTTTGCATTGTGTGTAGCTGAAAAGCCAGCACTTAAGAGCTTTTCAAAGAGGTATTATGAAACATCAGTAAGAACTAAAGAGGAGATTATTCCTTCCAATGAGTTCCTGTTTGAAACATTATTTGAAGATGGTTATTTTCCTTGATGATCATTAAGGGGATCAGTTATGTGGCAAAGCTTTGAGCTCATACATATAGTTCAGTTTAAAGAAGATATTTAAACTTTTGCACATTGTGAGAATACACACATATAAAGAAATATATGTGACTAAAATACATCTTTACATTTTTTCCTATGGTACTACTTAGAGATTTCATTTTAAATGGTGGTAGATATATTAGCATTTTTCAGTAATAGTATATTACTGTGATGATTTAGTGCATACTGGATATATGCCTATGTGTCCCAACATTTGGCTCATTGTATAGCAGTTTTCAATATAAATGTTCGAAAAGGGGAGGAGCATTTTGAAAGAATATTTTCTATAATCCCAAATCACTTAATTCGACAGTTTCAGTGATAGCTAAACTAGGCTTGGAATTTGCACTGAAAATTATTCTAGTTATCTACAATTATGTTTGCTTCAAATATGCCTCTTTTTGTCTGAAATCATATTTTGTAACTAAATTTTATTTTCTTATTTGTTTGAAAAATGATGCCGAGGCTCTTCTTTGGCATTTAAAATTTATTAGGCTAAACAGCCTATAATTCCTGTTAGATAACCAAGAAACAAAATAGGTTCCTGCTACTCTCTTTTTTTCTTGGCTATTTATTATCTTGTAAGCTATCCAATTGAGTAGAAAATTACATTTGTAAATTGTTTAATTTTCTGTGATTTAGAGATAATAAAGACTTTATAGATAATAAAGTCACATAAATTCACAGCACCTATAGTTATTATATTTTGAAGGTTTGCCTTTGGTTCCCTTCTTCCCCTACTCATCTATTGAAAAGGCTATTAAAAACTCACTTGACATTTATGGCGTTTACACACTATGGGTATGTATTTAAAATGCTTTAAGATTTTCTGGTTAAAAAATACTTTCAAAGAATTAAACAATAATAATCCATTTCAACTGTGAAATTAAACTGTCCAAGAAGAAGGCATGAAAATGTCTAAATCAGAGGGACGTTTCATGTCTTTAACTTCTGGTTATTTTTATTAATCCTTTGTGCTTCTGCTTTTCAATATGAGTTCTGGTAGGGTCTTTCCTTAAAAGACAAAAGTCAGGATTATCATTAAAACACTGTGAAGGTGAGGTAGAGTGCCCACCAAGAAAACCAATCACATGGTTGTTCAAGGCTTCCCAACATTTCGTGTAAACATAAGACCAAAGAGCTTCCTGAGACTGCTGCTGTTAGAGAGCTGACACAGCAAGTGTGTTGTCTTCGTGTCTGCTTCTTCTCTATGCCTTGTCTTCCATAACATATTCTCACACAGAACGTTGAGTTTTGGCACTTAAACTACAAGTTGATTTGGTATAATTATTTTTTAAGTTTTGACCACCTAATTAATCTATCAAAATCATTCATTTATATGGTTATTTTAAATCCTCCTTGTAGATTAGTCTTTGATAGTAGTGTTATAAGTGAGTGGGTGTTTTTCCTCTTGTGCTTTAAATTATAACATTTGAACTGTTGGTGTCACCATTAGATGTACTTTAATGAGGTTTAGGGTAACTATGGGCAGATTTTCACAAAATTGTAAAAAGGAAGAAATCTTTTTGTGTATACTACTACTGGTTAGTCAGCATGAATGGGTGAATGAACTTTCTGGGTGAAATACCAGAAGAGGTAAACTTGTTGAGAAATTCAGGATCTAGTTCAACCCTAGCACTGAGCGCCTGAGCACAATAGGAAGTTGGCTTTATTTTTCATTTGCATGTTCTTTTTTATCACAGAATTTCATGATTCTGGTTTGTAAGGCATTCTTGTTACAGTTTGGCTGTACAATAAATCTTTGCTCTGAAAAAAAAAAGGTATGCTCATTGCAATATAGAATAAGTTTAGAGTTTTTACATCAGTGAATCATTAATGTGTTGATTTATTGTTTCCAAAATATCTGAGAAAAACATTTCCATCTAATCCAGAAGGTACAGATCCTCTCAAAATGGAAATGCGTATTGTTCCTATCAGCTATTATGTTATGCATTCCACCTTCACTCATTCAGTATGGAAGGTTGTTTTGGAGTATTTTGCTGCTCCAAATGGAAAATATATTTCCATTTTCTCAAGTTGAGAAACAAAGGTGTCATGATCTTTTCTGAGCTTCAAAGCCAAGATATTATTAATATTAGACCTTAAGCTATTCAAGTTACTCTGTCTTGTAGTGTCAGTGTTTTATAACATGAGAATAATGAGCTTTATCTGTAGATAATCATAAAGTAATTCACTGTTTTCAAGTCAGTGGAGGGATCTTTTACTCAAATAATTGAAAGTATCGATCTACTTGCTGTTGATTTAGTGTAGAAGACTGTGTCATTGACGGTGCTTGGTAGAGACCATAGGCAAATCTTTTTGGATTCCTATAGAAAAACCTGGGATTAAATGTTGGGATCAATAAAAGATAGCAGTCTCTACTCTTTATATCTGTTGGTTGAGATAATTGAATATGTTTGAAGCATCTGCTCATTCACTCAGAGTGGATAGATTCTAGCTGTGTTGACCCTTAAGGCTTCTCTTTGTAAAGAAGGCCAGCCTGGGAGAAGTGAGCTCTCTTCCTTTTCATTAGGTAAGTTCATGGAACAAACCCTTTATTCTGACTGTTTGTTAATCTAAATTAAATTACTTTTCTAAGAACCAAGTGCATAATGAACAGCGTTGGTCTTTTGTCTTCTTGCTACACCTATATAAGGTGATCATTTCTAAAAGGCTTATCGTCTTGTATTTTCTGATGCCAGTTTGTTCTTTGGAAAAATTTCTTTTCATTTCTTAACATTTAGGTGTGATTTCACCTTCATACTAAAATTCATAGTTTTCTGAGGCATTGAGCATAATCAGGTTTTCCCCCAAACCCTCTCATGTTGGCACGTCAGTCAGTGAGACCGCAGCATGGACAGGTGGCTCAGTCGCCAGAACCCCCCAGCGCGGACAGTGTCATAATTACATTAACCAAATGTGACTGACGATTTGTGAGTTTTTCTGTCTTCATTAAACTTGTTCACCTTCTCTGAAACCCCTCATGCTGCACGCTAGCACGGAGCAGCCGTATCCCTCGACCCAGCATGAGTCAGGGGTGCAGCCGCGATACCAGCCGTGAGAGCAGCCGAGATACAAGCCCTGCTCGGGGCTTCCCTCCACTTGGTGAGTACATGCAGGCGCTGACTGAGGAGTGGAGCTCTTTTCCCTGCTCCACATGCTTGTCCGAGACACTGCTAGGTGGAATGACCCGCTTTCCCTCCTCTACTGTCCTTGTGGTCCTTTCTTCTTCTCTTTCCTCTTCCTTAGTTACCCTTTGTTGTCCCCCTCTGCATGCTTGAATTTTGGCAACTTCCAGTTTTCATATATTAGAGGAAAAAAGCACCACTTCACTCTGTACTGTTGTCATTGATGACCACTTGCTGTCAGGTGAGCCCATCTGAGTGGTAATTTCTAACAGAAAGCAAAACTCAGCCAAAGTGAGTTGCTGCTTGAAAATAAAGTTTATCCTTACTCACTGAAGTTTTACAATTTATCTCTAATTTTACTAAAGATCAGTCTACATGTGATTTAACTTAAGGAACAAAAGTGCAATTATGATAATGTTCAGAAAACAAAATGAGTTTTCTTTTTAGTGTTGCCTTTCTCTAAAATGAATGCATACCTTTTTAGTTACTAACAAACTATTAATCCCCAAAGACATATGTCAACACATAGTTTTATGAAAAGGAATATTTTGTATTTTTCAATAATTATATTTTAGTTCCTTGGCATCTTAAGTGCTGTACAGATGTATATTTTCCTCTTTTAATTATCACATGGAAGTATGGACTGCAGCAGTCTCTTATTTTGACTACGTGAATATGTAACTGGTCTTTGAAATATGTAAATGTCTGCAGAAGAGGGATGTTAAATCAAAAGCATAATGTCTTAATATTTGCTTCTACTTATCTCCTTCTAATGTCATATACTTCTTCTAATATCTTTTTTCCCCAATCAGTATCAGTAATCAAAATCTAGATATATTTCCTTATGGCCCATTGTCATCTGTGAGGGTCTGGAAAAGAGCAGGTAAACAGATGCCAAAGCCCTGCTGGATGATAGCCTTGACTTAATGAGCTAATACCTGCTGTGAGGTATTGTACCTGCTTAGCACGAGCCCTTGAGTGGGGCAGCTTACTTAGTGCATGTCAGCTATTCCACACAGTCTGAAAACATTAGAGCAGAATTTTCAATAAATCAGGGATGGCAGTGAAGGGTTTTTTTTTGTTTGTTTTTTCTCCTGAATGAACTGGTGATTTTTCCTTTTAAATTACGGCTGTATATCTCTGCATCCTTGCTCACTGTTTGACCTTCCAAATATCCTTTTATATGAATAAACAATTTAATCTGTTTATTGGTTATTTTGTCTCTTAGAAGTAATTCAGTGTTTTTATTTTATGCGTGTGCTAGCATTTTTAATACTGTCCATAGAAGCAGCCTTTGTAATCTGGCCTGTGGTCTATGGACCAGGCAAGGCATGTTGAATTCTTGAGGTCCTAATTGCACTCTAAGTAGTTGAGTGATCCTGTCTGGTTTTCACTTTCTTTGGCTGAGTGGATCTGCTTAACTGTCTTGGTGACAGCCCAGAATGTTGAAATGTATAATTGCTACTCCCAAGGCAGAAGGTGTGGATCCTAACAAATCTAGCATCAGCTTGTGTCTTCTGTTCGTAGTTAATGTCTTTGAGTTAAATTTTTATACTATTCCTTTTTTTGCCCCTTGGGTTAAATCTGTCCCTAAAACTTAACGTCCAGCAAGAACAACTGTGTTCATGTGTACCTGTACCATTTGGCATAATCAGCCAGCTAATGCCTTGTGGTCCCAGTTCACCTTCTGGGATAGGTATTATCATCAGAGTCTTAGGGAGATTAAGCTACTTCCTCAAGGTCATACAGCTAAGTGGTAGAGTTTGAATCCATATTTGACTTCAAGGCTGCCTCATTTGAAAGTAGTTCTGATAATTCAGTGTCTTTCATCTGTTCTCAAAAATGTCTTAAATGGTATCTCTGAGGCCTCTGCAGGGTTTGGCACATAGAAGGCACTCAGGAGATGTGAAGTCTGTGATTTCCAGGATTGGTATTAGGCCCTGGGAATTCAAAGATACATCCCAGATGGTGGTCCTCAGGGGAGCTTACTACACATCCTCTAAAGGTTCCTTCTTTATTTCATTCATTTTAATAATCACTTCTCTCACCACTTTTGGATATTAGTGAGATTATGTGTCGGTGCTCCTTTGAATCAACTTATATAGCCAACTTCATTTTTTAAAAATGGAATGAAAGTAAATATGTTTTAGCAAATATATATTGTTTTTAAGTTTGCATTTCTATTATAAAATTGTTTTGGACCATTTTTATGGCATACGTATATATTTATATAGTTACAGTGATAATTTTTGATTAGGTGAAATTAAGGGTTCCAGGACTGTGATATAAATCAGGCATTGACATAAGTGGGTCCTCCTTGGATTCCATTGTTGGGTGTTCACTTGTGAATGTGACAGGATACTCATTGTGTAACAGATCTACTTTAGAATATTCTATTGAGACAGAACCAAAGGACCACTTTATAAGGAACCTACATGTCAGTTATTGTTTAAAAACTACTTTGAATTTAAACTATCAAGATATAGGCTGGGCGTGGTGGCTCACACCTGTAATCCTAGCACTCTGGGAGGCCGAGGCGGGAGGATCGCTCAAAGGTCAGGAGTTCGAAACCAGCCTGAGCAAGAGCGAGACCCCATCTCTACTAAAAATAGAAAGAAATTAATTGGACAACTAAAATATATAGAAAAAATTAGCCGGGCATGGAGGCGCATGCCTGTAGTCCTAGCTATTCGAGAGGCTGAGGCAGAAGGGTTGCTTGAGGCCAGGAGTTTGAGGTTGCTGTGAGCTAGGCTGATGCCTCGGCACTCTAGCCCAGGCAACAAAGTAAGACTCTGTCTCAAAAAAAAAAAAAAAAGATATAATACTAATGTGTTTGTACAATAAATGCATAGTTTGCTTGAGTCTTAAAATAGTTTAAGGAAAGTGATAATTTTATAGTATCTGTTTTAGAGATTTATCTTTACTTTTTGTGAATCTTGAGAAAAGAGGAATTTTTGTTTCTTTCTGAAAGCTGGTGAGAATTTGTCCTTAGTGACCAGGTAACTTTGTTATTTAATACCACATATACCAGAGGGATGCATGTGTTATAAACTGACATGAGCTTAAAAACTAAATATAATACATTGAAGAATTTGAGGTTTTGGTATTATATGACTAAATATGAGAGTGTTAAATGTGTATAGAATACTCCAGTAGTGTGGATAAAATGTAGCACTGCTCAGTATTACTTTGTTAAACCTATACATTTTCTGCAATATAATCATTTTTCAGAGTAATGAATGAAAGCATATTATCTTTTGTTTTCTCCTGAGGTGAAGAAGAGCTGTATATCACACGGATCGATGGTCTATAAGTCACTGTTTTGAACCAAGTCTTTAATAATTATTTCTAAAAGTTATTCTCTCTCCACATGAGGACAGAGTTTAGCATTTATTTCCTCAGGTTGATGAATTAATGTACTTAATATGAATACTTGCTAATAAAATGATTTTTGATGTCTAATTATAAAATTGGAGTTTGCTCTTAGCTGTTGATGCCACCACCACCACTTTTAACCACTGTTTTATGTGCTTTATGTATGATCTCTTCAATCCTCTCAATAACTCCCAAGAGAGAGATATCTTCATTAGCACCATATTACAGATGAAGAAACTGAGGTCCTACAGCTATTTGTGATCAAACCAGGCTTTATGGTTGTATTACTGACCTTGTGGTATAACCAGATACTGCAGCTGCCTCTCAGGGAAGGTCATTAAACTTATTACAGCCAAATGTTCAACAGTTAAACAAGTACATTAATAATTAGGATATTCATGCAACAAACATTTTGGGGAAAATGGAATTCCAGTTGTCGAGCCCCCTTCCTGTGATTTCATTCTATTTCTGTTAAAATAGCATTATGAACTTGTATGCTTTTGTTTTGGGTGCATGGTCGCATATGCATCACATACTGATGAAACATCTCGTGAGCTGAGTTAATAATCCATCTTATTGCTGTTTCACTCGGGGGTGTCGATGGTGCTCTGGACTCCTGATGTTCTTCATGTTGCATATTTCCATACTGGCTGATGGAGGCTTCATGGCGTAACTGTAAACCTGGAGTCCGAGTTGGTTGTGTACACTTAGTTTGGAGCACCTTAAAGAGTGCCTTTGTCATGCCTGTGTGAGCCAGCCGGCTACTGTGGAGTTGGGATTGGCACTTGCTGTCCATTCATATCCAGCACCATTTCTTTTCATGAGAAAACGTGGCCTTGTTGATAGTACTCCTTGCATTTCCTTTGGACTGTGGCATTTTCTGTCTTGGGTACTTCTGTGTTAATCCTGTGGGTGTTGCCGTTCCTTTTACCTGCAGCCTCTCGACGTCATTCCAGGTCCACTAGTGCTCTCTCCACTGCTGAATCTGTTGGGCAGTCAGGTGAACAAGTGCTAACTGCATGACTTGGCTTCTTCATATGTTCTAGTTTCACACCCATGTTAACATTTGTTTCCATCTGTCGGCTAGCACTTGGCATGTATGCACCTCATATTTTTTTTTCCCCAATGTGCTTTTATTTTTTTTAAGTTGTTGAATGTTTATAGTTCTATTAATAGGCCATAGATGCTTTATAGCCTGTTTGACAACATCATTTCTTCGGTGTTCATATTTATGTTAAAACTAAACAAAAAATGGGAAGCATTTCTTCCCTTTCTGCCACCCCCTCCCCAGGAAAACAACAGCCAAAACTAGGTATCATGTAGGGTCCCCGTGCACAGAGGCGGGGAATGCATATCATCTGACAGTCTTTCATCTCCAAAGTCTTCACCCCTAATAAACTGTCGAATATTAATGCTAGTTATTAGTGTTTAGTTCAAATAATTTTGACGTACTATTTAGTTACCAGTGTTCCAAATTATAGCATGGATTATTTCATATGTATGAAACTAAATGTAGTTTTCTAAAAGTTTTATGGAAAAAATAAGATCAAGATTTAAGTAATAAAGTCAGGCCAAAGGTAGTCTTTGCAGCCTGCAGACCCTAAACCTTCTGTCACAGTTCTTTTTAACAAAACCCCAAATCCACTGGTTAGCCACAGAGACAAAAAGTAAACATGCAGTAATGCATCAATTTGCCAGATTTAACTGGCATTTGTATATGTTCACAGTCCCTGCTGACTAGTTTTCTCAGTTGACTAAGGCATAACTTGTGAATTTGCAGTCTTTTGATGGTGACAATTGTTACCAATTCACTGAATCAGTTATTTTCTGTTTGTCTTCTACATGAAGCCAGCTGTACATTTTAGCTATATATGTTCTGATTAAGTACATTCCCCTGAAAATTATGAGTCAGACTGAGGGCACAGTATTATGTGTCCATCTCTGGGAAAATTGAGCTTCATGATAGTGTCAGAACAGTAAAAACATGGAACAGAATTTAGTCTGGCAGAAACAAAAAGTTTATAATTTTGCTTAGATCCAGACAAACATTTCCCCTAAAGATTTAAAATTCAAATTGTCTGTGATATGTATCAAATGATCTACAGTCACTGTGTATGGCAAAGCTGTTTGCATCTGGGAAGCACAGATTAATCGCATTATTCTTATAGTTTTAATTTTGTGTTCGAAAAACCAGTATTATCCTTGGAACAAGAATTGCTGGCATGAGATCTTTTTTTTTTAAATTATTTTAGGTTCCATTTTATTTAAGTTTATGCTGGGTAATTTTTAAATGGCTTATAACTGAATTACTTTCATTCTGTTACTCATAAATCTACTATCTACCCTTTTTTAATGGAAAAAAAGATGAACAAAGATCATCTATAAAACTAGTACATAGTAAAGCTCACTTGTTTCATATTTCAACTGATAAATGTATAGAGAGATGTAATTGCTTTTGTGGTCTTTTTTATTTTATATGGAACATTAAATTACCTTTTAAACATGATGGCTAAAATGACATTTGGAATGATCAGCAAATGCATTAAAAAAGGGGATAGTCTTAACATACAATTTTTGTTTATCAAAATTCATGATTGTATAACTCTTGACTAGCAGTGTTTAAATTTTTCTCCCTTTCTATGGTGGTGGAAGGTGTAATGTTTTGAAATTGACATTTAAAAAAAGCCAAATGATACTTCACTTTTAAAAATTTCACCAGTTTTGTAGGTGATGTCTTGTTACACATCCTAAATTTTAGATACATCCTTTTATAGGAAAGAGCAATTCATGTAAAATAGATACCACTTTCCCTTTTATTCTAAATGCTTCTGGAATATGGCTAATAAAGAGATTTCCCTTGTCCAAACAGTGTCATATTAACACAGAGAAAACATTTTTATCTTAACATTTTTCTTCCAAAGGTTGTTATACATTAGAATTTTTAAATAAAAAACTTTTTACCAGTAGATAGTATAACATACAAAATATAACTTACACTGACTTTCTTCTATTATATATAGTTTTAATCTCCAGCACTTCTTAAGGAAGGCTGGTCAGCTGACTTAATGGGACTTTAAAAATGAGTCTTCATTTCCATGATCATTAACAAGCTTAAAATAGTTTGAACTGCTAAAATTTATCTTAAATTATTTGGATTCTTTTCACTTTGTTTACCTGTATAAAGCTATTATTGAAAAATCCTTTGAGGAACCCAGGTAAAAATTATACTAACTTTATTTGGATGATTAGTGTTCTGTAGTAAAAGTGCTAGATTTTTATGGTGATTATGAAGGAATTTTAATAAATTGATTTAAAAATAATCTTTGGTGACATAAGCATCATGATGAACAAGTATCTAAAATTAATTGAGCTTAATAACAGTTAAACAGTAGTGACACTAGTGAACATTTGCACAGAGATCAATTTAATACATTTTTTTCAAATTAACTTCTTATTACACATTACATTAAAACTCATTTATCAAACAATAAAGCTTTCTAATCAGTTTGGCCAAATACCAAAGCTGCCTGCCTCTAGAAGGAAAGCTGAATAGGTTAAAAGACTCGACTCATAGCCCAACTCTTTTCTATAATAAATTCTCCCTCTCTCACATCTCAAAACTTTTCAGTAATAAAATATCATGTTCAGACAATTTCAGTTGACAGATTGCTTTGTGACAAGATATCATTAAATGTGAACAACTAAACCTCTACCACTGGTAAACAAGTCAAGTGTAGTTAAAATCGACCAGAGATTTCTCAATGCCTCTGTCTACTTGGTGTGAAGAGGCAGGAGCCCTTGCAAAGAACTGAGAAAATTTGAATTAAAGTGACATATCTTTTGCTTTTGTATTTTGAATAGACCGGTTTGGGCTTGGCCAGCCAGGAAGAATACCTGGTTCTGTGAATGCCATGCGAGTTTTGAGCACAAGTACAGATCTTGAAGCTGCTGTTGCTGATGCTTTGGTAAGAGTCACAATATGTACACAATCTCTCTGGATTGATCATCTGCATTGTTCTGTCTTAACAGGAAATTGCCCCCAAATCAGATTACTGAAGCACCTTTGACACTCTTTAAAATTGTATAAATATTGAGTAAATTTACATTTTTATTGTTTTCTTCTTAAACTTTTACCTCTGCACACACATAAGTGAAAATTGGCTTTATAGAAGACATTAGAATCAAGGATTTTTTTGTTTGTGCTCCACAATATCAAGGAGGTTTTGATGACATTGGGCTTTTCAGATGTCATTGGGCTTCTTTCTTTTTTCTTTCTTTTTTTTTTTTCTTTGTCACCATGGTTTTCCCCAGCATTTCCATTTTTCCCCACTCTCACTTCTCTTGCTTTACAGACTTTGATGGTATATTATTATAATGGAAGTTAATAGAGTTTGAGGTTTGAAAATCTTGCATTTATTCCATTATTTCACTTGGGGGGTCCATATGTTTTCATGTTGGTTTTTTTTTTTTTTAAGTGGGTTCTTAGGTAATTTAAGAAAACTTTCTGAATTTTAAGGTTAAATCTTTGAGGATTTGAAGTACTGGTGAAGCATGTTTTTGCATCATTATAATGCAGTATCTAAAAAACAAAATACAACTCCTTTAATTTGTGATTATAGCAAAAAGTTCCTTGGTAGAATTGGCTTGTGGTCAAATTGCTTTTTAAAGATGCATTTCAGCTTAGTAGTAACACAGTCTTTTGCGTATTCCAGTTTATGTGCTCAGCACTTGAAATAAATATTCTTTAGAATTGTCTGGTCCCTGGCCTTGCTTCTGCTGTTTTAAGATTTATTCTCTTATAAGGGGAAAAGTATATAATATCCTGCTTCAGACCCAGACGTTTTTGTTTTTAATCCAGCCATGTTTCATCTGATCAACATTTTATAGTCTCTGACTTCCGTGTTTCCAGCTTTCATTCCTTCTTCTCTCCCCATTTATTCTTGCTCAGTCAGATTACTTTGACAAGTGTCTCTGAGCAAGCTGTTTGATGCTGTCATAATGCTTTCCCTGTGTGTCTGGCCAGCTCTATTCCTCCATTTTATATGTATAAGGACTTTATTCTGGCCGGTGCCAGAGGTAGGGTAATCACTCTGACCTTGGCTTTAATGTAAGAGTCAAGAGCTGGAACAGATTTCTGTGACACTGTTAGCTCTTCTAAGTTGTAGCATTTAGAATCTGTCTCTTAGTTATGCAGAAACCCTAGGAAGTGGAGATCACAAGGGATGGGAAATGTTGGATATGAATCTCTTAGTTAAATGGGACTTCCAGTTAGGGCAAGGGGGATTTCTTAGTTCTTTAAAGAACTGTGCAAAAGACTGTGTGCAAAGTTCTAGGAGGCAGAATAGGACTTGAGAGTTTGAGCTTTGGCTTAACTTGACTTGAGCTTTTCTGTGAATCAAGCTCCCATTGCATTCATGCTACCCTTGTTCTTTTTTGTCCAAACTATGTGGTCTCTCCTAGGGAAGAGAAAATACAGGAATGGCACAGAATCCTTGCCTCACCAAATAGATGTCCCAGGGGTAGACAGAATGTCTCAGTGGAGTAGATAGTAGAATTAACAATGACCTTAGAGATGTGCCCCACTGGTATGGGAAGAGTTTTAGCAAAGAATTACAGCAAGTACTAGAATGTCTTATGAGAGATCTAGGAGGGTTAGGAAATGGCATTTTGAAAGCATTCTTTATTATTATTCGCTTGATATGAAACGCTTGCTAACCTGTATTTTTGGTTTGCTGAGATATGTTTTGCTGTACACTTTTGTTGCAAGAACAGTCCCCACATATGCTTCTGACATAATTCTCTATGCTTTTTCCCCATCCTTCAATATTTTCCTGCCTACAGCTGTTAGGAGACTCCAGGAGCAAGGTACCAGTGCCTTAACTTTTGTTTTACAACTTTATTTCTTCTGTTGCGAGTATATTTATTTCAGTAGCTAGTGAAAACAAAAAATGTAGTATAGTATAGAAATTCTGGTCTGAATTATGGTTTTGTTGAATTGTAACAACAACGATTCAGCATCATCGTTGCCTTTGTTAGTGGTGAAGTCAGTCAGTCACCTCTCACATACATCTGTTTTAGTATTTATTTTGAATGTCAAGCTCTGTTCCTTCTTCTAGTAGTGTTTCATTTTTTTAACTCAGTTTGGACCTATTCTTATGTTGTCATGATTTCATGAAAGGATTTATCAAGATTTTTCTTATTTTAGAAATCTAGTTTATGTATAAGTAGATCATGTGTTATATATATTAGTAAATTATATGATGATCGTATAATTTATCATCCAAAGAAAGTGCTTTTGAGAGTGAAAGAAAATGCTATTTATAATTATGCTGCAACAATAGGCATAGGTAGAACCAGTACTGAGCAAAGTTGGGATTAATAATAACAGCTATATTATTAGGGAATTGCATTTGTATGGTTTAAATCAATAACTATTTTTCTTTTAAAAAATATTTGATAAATTTTATCAATTTTGTGTAGCTGTTGCTATATCATTTATGGATTTAACTAACAGTTTTGTATTGAGGTTAATAGAAATGAAATGAAGTGGATATTATAGTCTACTTTAAAAGAAGCCTATTTGTGTTTCAAAACTTAAAGTAAGTCTTTAATAAAAGTGGCTCAGATATTTTAAGAATTTTTTGAAATAGGATACTTCTGCCACTGACATTTCAAATTTAGACTTTCTTAAGGAAACATGAATATTCAAACAAATTTCCCATATACTATGCCCAAGATATATTGCTTTTGATTGGGGAGGGGCTGGTGGATACACATATTTACAGTGTGTCACCTGAGCTGGATTATCGAACATATAATTTCATTTCATTCTCATAGCAAACCTGTGTGATAGGTATGGAACATGGGGAAACTGAAACAGAAAGCTTAGCAGGCTTTCTGAAGTCACATAGCCAGTCAGCAGGGGCACCAGGATTGCAACCCATGTGTCTTCCCAAGAAGTCCACACACTCTACTAGAGGCTGTGCTCTTTCCATCTGCTACAAAATGCTGTGCTTATTACTTATTTTTCCTACTGGAAGACTTCTTTTCTCTTTTTTTCCCCCTAATCTATAAGCACAGGAAAAGAGTGTGTTCATGTGTATGTGTGTGTCTGTGTGTCTTTTTACAGTTAACTCTTTGTTGTTGATTTTGTTTGGTATGACTCATGGTCATGTCACCTTCCATTTTTTCCTCGATCACCCCCATCCCTCATTGGATCTGTCAGAAGAAACCTGTGAGGAGGAGATATGAGCCATATGGGATGTATTCTGACGATGATGCCAACAGTGATGCCTCGAGTGTTTGCTCTGAGCGCTCATATGGCTCCAGGAACGGGGGCATTCCCCATTATCTGCGGCAGACTGAGGATGTAGCAGAAGTTCTCAACCACTGTGCTAGTTCAAACTGGTCAGAAAGGAAAGAAGGGCTTCTGGGCCTGCAGAACTTACTGAAGAGCCAAAGAACACTAAGGTAAGGACAAGAACAAGTATGTGAGCTAAGTTGGAGTCCCACGCTATACTCATCAGGAGCTTTAAAGGGATTCCCTGTCATTTTTTTAAGCTAAGTTGTGAAACTGGCAAAGTCTACGGCCATAGACGGATGTCCCTCTGGGTTCTGTAAAGCTGAGTGAGCACTAGTTGCTGAGCCAGCAAGTTGCTGGGCTCCAAGTGAACTCTTCAGTCTTTCTGACTCTACCCTGCTGTATTCATACCTGCCCACATTATTCCATCTGTTCATGAGGATGATGTGAGAAGTTTTGTCATATGCGCCCTGAAATGAAGGCATCCTGTGATACTGCACTGATGTGTCAAAAACAAAATGAGGATGACTTGTCATCATTGTTCTTCAAGAATCTGTCTAATCCTGATGGTCCCACTTTCTGGATTCTTTGTGTTCACCAAGTACCCATGGAATAATCTCTAGAAATCTGTTGATCAGTACTGTTCTAATCTAGTTTGCATTATAAACAATATCAAGGGATTGTTGAATGAACTTTCTCATATGCTTAAGAAGGAATTACTCAGAGTTGATTTGGGGAAGAGAAGACCCTTTTTTCAAGGCTTGAATTAAAAATGGGACAGGATAGTAGTCAAGGATCAGAAAAGGCAAGGTGTGGTGGCACATGTCTGTAGTCCCAGCTACTTCGGCTAAGGTAGGAGGATCACTTGAGCTCAGGAGTTTGAGGCTACAATGAGCCATGACTATGCCACTGCACTTTAGCCTGGGCAACAGAGCAAGAGCCTCTCCCTTAAAAAGGCAGAGGACACCAATTTGAAATGGGTGTTTGCTTTGTCCTAGGCATAATAGTAGGTATAAAATGTTATCTTTTCTAATCCTCTCAGCAGCCCTGGGCCATAGCACTAAAGAAATGGAGGCCTAAAGATATCAGAGTACCTTGTAGGAGAATTGAGATTAAAATCCAGGTCTGTCTGACACATGCTTTTTTTAGTTTATCCCATTGCTTTTTAGCTATGGCTGGTGAGAAAAAGACTTGGAATAAAATGAAGGGGTTTTGATTCATGGCTTGGTCACTTCCAGATTGGGAGCTTGGGTAAATCACTCTGAATTTCAGTTTCCTCATCTGAAAATGAGAGCAAACACAGGGTTTTATGCTCCTGTTTAATTTAATCATGAATTAAATAAGAATGCATTTGTGAAAAAACTTTGCTATATAGATACAAATTATGTAAAGCCATATAGTTGACAAAAACAAAAGGATTTTTCAGAGCAAAGCCATAACTAATTGCAGTGTTCACTTATTAAATTTTAAATTCATTGATTTCCATTTTGTTTCCTCTAGTCGAGTAGAATTGAAAAGATTGTGTGAGATCTTCACCCGGATGTTTGCTGACCCACACAGCAAGGTGAGTCTGGGAATCGAGCCTTCCTTATCCAATGCATGTCTGCATGAGCTGTGTCATGTACTACCCAAGAATGAGAGAGAAGTCCCCACAAGCAGTTTTGACCTTACACATTTAACACCAGTATCAGCAATAGTGTATGTTACATCTTTAAAAAGTAGAATTCTTGGAAACTTAAGTGTGCGTAGAACTTGAAGTTAAATAAGTGTGCTTTGTGTAAGAGTTGTTATGGAGAGAATCCGATGTAGTCTTTCAGTTAGCAAGTATTTTTGCATGCTTCTTGTTAGCCAAGCAGTGGGCTAGGTGCTAGAATGTAAGATTATATTATAGTGCACTGTTTTTAGTTACAGTAGTGAAGAAAACAAGTATGTAATTAATTTGTATTCTATGTAGAATATGCTTTCCTGGGACAAGATAGAAAAATAGAAGTATTTATATTCTGGATTTATTGAAAACTAGATTAAGTTATTTCTCAAAATAAAATTTCGCTGCTCCTAAGAACTTGCTGGGTAGTGGTCACTTAGTTGGTGCCCACACCTCCTCAGGGCCAAAGGGAACACTGACCTGGAGACTGCCTTTTTGACAAGAAATTCCCAGGTCAGAGGGAAACACCTATGAGTGTGGAACAAGGCCCTTTGTAGGGGTGGTGCTGGGAGAGTGAGTGACTCTTTACAAAAGTTTACTTGGACTCTAGATTTTAAATAAATACCATTGTTTGGGAGGAAGCCTTTAGAGGCTGTTCAGTGCTTTTGGAGGAAGAAAATAAGAGAATGAAGATAAAGAGGAAGTTAGAAGGTAGAAAAAGGACAGAGAGACTAAGTGTGTAAATCAGCAGAAGCAAATCTTAAATGCTGACATGTAGGATTAATTGTATAATACTACAGCGTTCCTAGCAAAGATGGTCTCTTCTAAGTCTTGCTGGGAAAAAGAAACTTGTGATGGCCAGGGAGTCGAGCCAGTTATTGTCCTCTTCCTTCTTTTTCTATCCTTGCTTCCTCATAGGAATTGTATTTGAAATATCAAACAGCAGCCTATTCACCCACCCACCCAGTCATTCAACATTTATTGAATGAATACCTGTTCTATATCTAGGGATATAGAAAACAAGACGTGGCTCCTTCCTTTGGAGATGCTCATGAGAGTGTAGGGTATGATGCAGGGATTCTCTTCCTCTCGCCTCCCATAGCACTTCTCCTTACTCAGTATCAGTCTTGAATCATGTCTTAAAATTCCTGATATGGGCTGGGTGTGTTGGCTCATGCCTGTAATCTCAGCACTTTGAGAGGTTGAGGCAAGAGGATTGTTTGAGCCCAGGATTTTGAGGCTGCGGTGAGCTATGATTGGGCCACTGCACTCTAGCCTGGGTGATAGAGTAAGACCCTGTCTCTAAAAAGAAGAAAAAAATTCCTGTTATGACCCTCACAGCCTCATAGCAAAGTTAACATTAACTATAGTATTAATAATAAAAATCCAAGAAAGATTGAGTTTAAAGGCCACATAGATATACAAAGATACAGTTATCGAGATTTTTCTCTCAGATAATGTTAAAAGCAGTAAGATTTAAAGCATAAGCACAATAAGATTCTTAAGATTTATAACATAAGAGATATTAGATGATTTAGAACATTGATGAAATTTCTATTACCTGTCACCTCTAGATTGCTGATTCAGAAGCAGAATGTGAGGATAAAGAAGTAAATTTGTTTCCATCAGAAGGCTCTTGTACAGTGAGTTTGGAGGTCTCAGTTTAGTCAATATTTGTTAGCTGCCTGTGGACTAAGCCAGGAAGCCCACAGCTAGGGCTCATTGATGTTGTTCCTGAGCTCCCTCACAGGAGACCCCTGGTGGCAAATAGTTGCTGGCTTATCCCAGTAGACCAAGTCTCATTAACAAGGTGTAGGGGAGCACAGTGCTACTTATCTTTCTGAAATTGGTTCAGAGACTCTGTTTCACCTTGGATAGTATTGATTACATAACAGCATAAGCATTATGTTAACCTCTTTTATTCTAAGCCATAATCTTTTATTACTTTATAATATCTGAAAATAGTTGACTGACATGGAAATCAATAGCTAGACAATAGCGAATAGGTATTTTTCCTCATCCTATAATAATATTTGTTGAATGCTAGATAATGAACAAGAATACTACAGAATTAGAACAGTTAAGAGGTTTCTGGGCTTTTTGTTTGTTTGTTTTTAAGAGCCTTCAGGAGTAAACTCAGAAAAGTTAATTTCACTCTGTACCGACTTTTAAAGACTTCTATGAGGGGGAGTAGAGTATTTTATCAGTTTTTAGCCCTTTCAGGGTTTGGTTTTTTTTTTTTTTTTACAAAACTGCATGAAAATGATATTAATTCACTATGGACTAACATGGAATTTGTTTTGTTGCATGGCCTGGTTTGCGGTGGAATTCACATCAGAGAGTAAGTTCCAGTCCTTTTCCCTTTATCTGTTTTCTATGATACCTTTGCTTTCTGTAACATGAACAGCATTAACTTATGAGAGTCTGGGCATAGCTAGTATGGGCATTATTAATGTTTTGTAGACTTTAGAGGAAATCATGAATTAAATATGGGAAATTTGGTTTTCATTTGTGTCTAGGTTTTCAGTATGTTTTTGGAGACTCTTGTGGATTTTATAATAATTCATAAGGATGACTTGCAAGATTGGCTTTTTGTTCTTCTTACACAATTACTTAAGAAAATGGGAGCAGATTTACTTGGATCTGTGCAAGCAAAAGTTCAGAAGGCTCTAGATGTCACAAGGTAAGTGTAGGGGCTCGACCAGTTGGACGTTACAAGATTCTTACAGGTGACTTTTTGCATCTTTCTTCTGTTACCCATGGTCTTGGTTGCCCACTTGAATATCTCCCCTCTTCCTCAGTTCTCACATTCTCTTGTTGATATGTTCCACCAATATGAGATGAAATATCCATCATATCTTCCTGAGTCGGCATTATTTTTTGTGAATGCCTAAGACAAATGTAAAACCAAGTCTAAAACTTTGAAATTTGGTTCTCTTTTCTTTAAAAAACATTTGAGGAAAATATTTAGAATATTTGTTTACACCTTTCTGAAGACCTTAGTATTTTTAATACTTTAACATCTTAAAAGTCACACTAGAAATCTTCCTGTCACCATATGATTTAGAGTTTCCACTGGTCCAGGAACAGTCTCTAAATTGACAGTGGGTTGGCTCAGAGATGGATAATACATTTATAGCAGTTGTGTCCCTGTGGCTATTACGAGAAAAGTGCTACCAAGGCTCAGAAAAGTTAAATGAAGTATGTGGTGTCATCGTTCAGAAACCTCTATTGTCTGTGCAATTACAGGTCCTCAGATATAAGTATTGGAGTTAAATGATCTCAGAAGACACTTTGCAGTAATGTCTTGGTTGTGATTTGGTGGAAAATAGAGGGGAATGTTAAATCAGTGAACTTTTATAAAAGAACAAACAAGTGACTCCAAGTTACTCAGGAAATTATCAGGGCAATAACTTTTGTAAGACCCAATTACTACAAACTGGAATACAGCTATATATCATAGAATTTTCAAAATGGAAGGAACTGAAAGATGATGCTCATTTTATCAGTGAGAAATAGAGATTTTGGCTTGACTTGTCCAGGGTCACACTTTGTGTTGAGTGGTACTCTGGGAACTAAAATCCATGATCTTTGATTGTTGCTGTATTGTCTGTTCCTGTTGTTGCAGGCTGTATTGTGGGCCTGTGTTCTCCCTTCCTGTGTGTGGGGGGGGAGTTAGGGTTATGGATAGTGCTAGTGCCTTTTCTCCCCCCTGGAAGCATGTACTGCCCTGCTGGCATCCCCCACGTATGCATCTGTTACATGACTCTGACTTCAAAGCATGCATCTGTTTCTCTGCACTGTGATGCCAGCTGTTTGCTTTTGGTCCCTGACCCTGTCGATCTATATGAGTTACACTGCTATAGAATTCTTTTGTCCAAATGGATTTCCCTTTTGGTTTTCAGTGAACTCGATGAAACATACTACCTTTGCAGTAAAGCTTTCAAACTTTGAAATCATCTTTCCTTTGGATAATTAAGTTCAGTGGAATTAGGGGGCATTACTAAATACCAGTGGATTTATAAAGGTTTAGCCAGGAATTGACTGGGGGCCTAGGCTGACAAGCTGGTGTAAATGAGTGAAGTCGAGAGGCTGGAAGGCTATTGATGGGCTGGAGAGCAGCAGCCAGTTGTGGCCATGTGGGATCATGTTGGGACATGAGCCCAGTGTTACTAGACTTTTCAAAAAAGGTCAGATGTGGATTTGGGCAACTAGTTTGAGAATTTTTTATGACACCGTGAAGGCCAAATCAAACATGTATGAGCCAGATTTGGCCTATATAGGTCACTTAATTTAGGTGAATTTATAAATGACAGTATCTATTAATTCATATAATTAATTATTCATCAATAATGTAATAATTATTTATCTAATAATTCAGATTTGGAGGGATGGTGGGAATATTAAAATTATATTCCTTAACTTTGGTGATTAAGGAGTACAGTTGTGACCTCCTATTAATTTTTCTGCGTATCTCATTCCTTTAATAATCCTCATCTCTTTGGGGATCTGGGTCCCTCTAAAGCATGGGTCCTCAAACTTTTTAAACAGGGGGCCAGTTCACTGTCCCTCAGACCATTGGAGAGTGAGGCGCACATTCCACACATGCGCATGGTGGGCCCGGGACGAGTTGGCTGCTAAGCAGGACAGGCAGCGGTGGCGGGCCGGATATATGTCCTTGGCAGGCCACATGTGGCTGCGGGCTTTAGTTTGAGGACCCCTGAAGCATTTCCCACTTTTCCTTCTTTTTCTCAACAGCTCAGATGTATAGCTGTTTAAGCTTATATGGAATCAGTCACTGACTATTCAGGGGGCATGTCAGTGATGGCCGAGAGTGGTCCTCAGGTTTTTACCTTAGTGCTAATCTGCCTCAGTTTCCTTTCATTTGGCTTTGCCTAATACCAGGGCATATTTCCTGATTAAACATATCTGTTAGTGAAATAAAACTCTCCATCATCCCTTGTTGCAAAAAGAGGGATAGGCATTTTTTTTTTTTTTTTTAGACAGAGTCTCACTTTGTTGTCCAGGCTAGAGTGAGTGCCGTGGCGTCAGCCTAGCTCACAGCAACCTCAAACTCCTGGGCTCAAGTGATCCTTCTGCCTCAGCCTCCCGAGTAGCTGGGACTACAGGCATGCGCCACTATGCCCGGCTAATTTTTTTTTATATATATATCAGTTGGCCAATTAATTTCTTTCTGTTTATAGTAGAGACGGCGTCTCGCTCTTGCTCAGGCTGGTTTTGAACTCCTGACCTTGAGCAATCCGCCCGCCTCGGCCTCCCAAGAGCTAGGATTACAGGCGTGAGCCACAGCGCCCGGCCGGGATAGGCATTTTGTGTTTCTGTTGACCTAGTCACTTAGATCATGCATACTGAAGCATATTAAATGTAATTTGCTTCCAGAAGTGACCCTCAAAGATTCTGAGGTACAAAAAGTGTGAGAGAAAAGGATACTATTGGGTCAAGTTTACTTTTTGTTAATAATTATAATGATGATAACATTGGTACCTAATGTGTGCCATGTGCTTTTTATTTTTATTGTATTATTTCATTTAATTTTCAAATCAGTTCTATGATGTAGATATTATTTGCTTCCTTTTATAGATTTAAACCTATATCCTTATTCGTTTTACTATACTTCTATAGTTTGGGGAAAGTCTTTATGGGAGTCCAAAGAAAGTAATGTGATCACTCAGCCTTAATTGTAATAGATACTTGCATTGTATTGTCTTTCCTGTTAATATGGAAGTTATATCAGCATTATCCGCATGGGGCTCTATTATCCAATTTTAAACTAATACTAATAATTGTAGCATTTTAAGGGAAAGAATACTGACTTTCTGTAGCCAGGAGCACCTCAAGGTTATTTGATTGGATCCGAAATGTGTGAAGACTACAAGAGAAGAGATCAGGAACAGGCAAAACATGGAGCAAGAGAAGGGGCTCTCAGGGCCACATGCTTGTGTGTGTGATTTTTAGGTAGATGGGAAATGCTTTGTTGCTATCTCCCAGGCATTCTTCTGTGGTAACAATGTGAAGTAGGATCAAAAGCAGTTATCAGGACCAAGGAGGACAATACAGTGAGCCTAACTAAGCAGGGTCAGCTATAAACATCCTTGTAAGGATATAAAAATAAGATTTGGGGCCAGGCCTGGTGGCTCACACCTGTAATCTCAGCACATCGGGAGGCCGAGACAGGAGGATCTCTTGAGTGCAGGAGTTTGGGACCAGCCTGGATAACATAGTAAGACCCCATCTCTTTTTTTTGAAAAGAAAAGAAAAATTTAGCTGGGTGTGGTGGCACATACCTATAGTCCCAGCTACTGGGGAGGCTGAGGCAGGAGGATCACTTCAGCCTAGGAGTTTGAGGTTGCAGTGAGCTATGATGAATCCACTGCACTCTAGCCAGGGCAACAGAGTGAGACCCTCTCTCAAAAGAAAAAAAAAGATTTGAGAATCAGAAGTATTTTTCATGTTTAAGCAATATTCAGAAATGTAGCTGGAGGGAAAATAAGCAAATCCCTAAATGGGCAGGTAGGAATCTCTTCCTTAGTTTATTGCCTAGTCTTAATTTTTAAAATAGCTACTCAAAGTAAGTTATTTGTAGGTTTTGGGACTTTAAACAGGATTTTTCTTTTTCCAAATTTTCTGTACAAGTGTGTATTTACTTTAGTAGATACATAAAATGAAAAGTAGTAGTATTTTAAAATGTGAACAGGCTTTTACATATATTAATCTACAGCAGTATGTTTTTGTTAATCAATTTTGTAATAATTTTTTTTAAAAACAAGCACTTTTTTTTTTGTACTAGGGACTCCTTTCCATTTGATCAACAATTTAACATTTTGATGAGATTTATTGTGGATCAAACTCAAACTCCAAACCTCAAGGTCAGTAATTATTTTTCATTACAGTTCAACATCTAGGCCTCAAATTTATTTAAAATTTACTCATTTTAAATACATGACTCATATGTTTAGTTATTGTGAATAAATCTCTTGTGAACATTCTGTTCAATTCTTTGTGCGCATGTTCCCATTTCTCTTGGTTCAGTGCTTAGTAGAGGAATTGCTGGTTCAGTAAGTAGGTATATGTTTGACTTTTTTAGAAACTGCTAAAATGATTGTACCGTATTATATTCCCACCAGCAGTGTATGAGAGCTCTAGTTTTCCTATATCCTCACCAACTTTTGGGCATTCTTAGGCTTTTTCACAATTAATATTTGAACTAGGAAATTAAAACATTCTGATGTGTTAAGATTGGTATCTTGGCTCATGCCTGTAATCCTAGCACTCTGGGAGGCCGAGGCGGGCGGATTGCTTGAGGTCAGGAGTTCGAAACCAGTCTGAGCAAGAGCGAGACCCCATCTCTACTATAAATAGAAAGAAATTAATTGGCCAACTAATATATATATACAAAAAATTAGCCGGGCATGGTGGTGCATGCCTGTAGTCCCAGCTACTCGGGAGGCTTAAGCAGTAGGATTGCTTGAGCCCAGGAGTCTGAGGTTGCTGTGAGCTAGGCTGACGCCATGGCACTCACTCTAGCCTGGGCAACAAAGTGAAACTCTGTCTCAAAAAAAAAAAAAAAAAGATTGGTATCTTATTGGAATGTCTCTTTAATATTAACATTCTAAGACTTGAATATTAACTGTTACATATTATAGAAAATCATACCTATAATAACAAGACCAAAATTTGAGGGAGGATATGTGTTCGTTTGAAGTAATTCATGTTCATTGTTCTTTAATCATTAACTTTTGTTGGGGTTTTAAGATGGGCTGAAAATAATAACCCTTTTATCCTGAGGCCGAAACCAATTGAGAAGTAAATGGTAAAGTTAGGGTAGAGTGTCAGCTTGCTGACTGAAAGTGCTCCCTTATAGAACATGGCCTAGAATGTGTGACAAAATGAACTGGAGACTGAAAGTTGCCTTTGCAGTCAGTAGCAGAGCTGGAAATCCCATGGTTCCCCAACATGGGCTCCTGTCCTATGAGTGTCTGGCAGCATAGACAAGGAGCAGAGCATACCTTCTCTGCATAACAATCTAAAATGAAGAGAATAGAGCTGCACACCACTTCCTGTCCCCAAACTTGCCCATCCAGTCATTTCATGCATTTCTCCTGATGGATGTCACTCCACATGGAAACAAAAATTCAGGAGAAAGGAAGGAGGTTGTCTTGCAAGTGTTCACTTTTTTCTGGTACCAGTTGAGAATTCTTTTCAAAGATTCATCAAGCTTACTTAATGTTTATTTATAATTCTTGGATCTTTCAGGTCAAAGTTGCAATCCTGAAATACATTGAGTCTCTGGCCAGACAGATGGATCCAACAGATTTCGTAAACTCTAGTGAGACAAGGCTTGCTGTTTCTCGAATCATAACCTGGACAACAGAACCAAAGAGTTCAGACGTGAGAAAGGTATGTCCAAGCGAGCTAAAGTGTAATCACAGATTGTTCTTAGGCATGTGTTAGAAAAAGAAATTTATTTAGAAACTTGCAAAACCAGGCCACACACCTACAAACCTTTGTCACTCTTTTTCTATGAAACAGGATTTTACTATTGCCTCTTTTTTTCTATCTTGGGCTCTGCCCAGTTCTGATCTTTAAATATCCAAATGAAAATCCAAAATCTTGCATGATGAATTCACAGTTTTCTCAGGCATCTGTTTTATGTATTTTGTAATATGAAATCACTGTATTTTAGTGTCTTTTACAAGGACAGTTGTTTTCCTTATATCCATTTGTAACATGTGCTTTGATGATGGAATTGCAGATCTAAGGCTAGCTGGCTATAGGGTGCCAGATAGTAAAATGTGGTTAAAAAGTTTGATAAGCTGTAATGGATTCTTGAACTTAAAAAGAGCAAAGATCTTCCAGTTATGTAGCACGTAAGCATATGTGTGTCTATATGAGTATGGGCTTTTGTACTGGAATGTTACTTAAGTATTCCCTACCATGGGCTGAAACATGTTTTAGATTTGTGTATTACTTTGATTAGGGCCAGTTTGGGACTGACTAACTTTGATCACTTTCCACAGATGTGCACATTAGAAAACTTAAAGAAGGGGGGAAAAAGAAGAAAATTTGAACTAGGACTTACTAGTCTTTACTTTTCTTTTCTTTTTTTTCTTTTTTTTTTTTTTTTGAGACAGTCTCACTGTGTTGCCCAGGCTAGAGTGCCATGGCATCAGCCTAGCTCACAGCAACCTCAGACTCCTGGGCTCAAGCAATCCTACTGCTTCAGCCTCCTGAGTAGCTGGGACTACAGGCATGTGCCACCATACCCGGCTAGTTTTTTTCTATTTTTAGTTGTTTGGCTAATTTCTTTCTATTTATAGTAGAGATGGGTCTTGCTCTCTTGCTCAGGCTTGTCTCGAACTCCTGAGCTCAAGCAATCCTCCCACCTCAGCCTTCCAGAGTGCTAGAATTACAGGAATGAGCCACTGCGCCCAGCCTATCCTTATTTTTCTAATCAGGATATAGGAAGTTCCTTTTTTAAATTATCTAGCCTGGGGCTCCAAAAATCGCAACTTATTTTAATACTAGCTCAAGCCAAATATGATTAGGAAATTAGATTTATTGCCAGAAATCAAATGATTTGTTTACTGTTTGATTTTCATAACATTTTCAGTTATTTTGGATTATATAGTGTTGCTTCACAAAGCTTTGTCTTCATTGGCATGTTACTTTCAATGCCTACCCATTTCTCCTACCCCATTATGAGGTTTTCTTAACTCCTCACCATCAGATGTAGCTTAAACCCAGGTTACAATATAATAATCCTCATATTGGGAGAAATTTGAGAAGATTTAGATTAGCAGTTCTGTCTTGGCTACAGTTAAAATCAACCCAGATTTCTGGGCTCTACTCCCAGGTAATTTTATTTAGTTACTATAGGGTAGAACATGGGCAATGTGTTGTTTTTGACTGGGGTTCCCTTTACTGTTGGCTGATTGTTAATGTACAGAGTTGAAGCCCAGTATTTAGACCATTCCCCTGGATTGAACATGCAGACTGCTGATGTAGTCTTGAACTTTCTCTCGGTATGATTAAAAAAAAAAAGAAAGCATCCACACTCCACATCTAGACACCTCAAATCTAACTGTTAAAAGCCAAAGAGAGAATCCTGAAATCAGTAGGAAGGGAGTGATTTCATCACATCCGTGGATCCTCAATGAGATTAACAGCTGATTTTTCATCAGAAACTATGGAGGATAGAAGGCAGTAGAATGACTTTCAAAGTGCTGAAAGAAAAATATGTCAACCGGTAATTTGCTATTCAGTAAAACTGTTCTTCAAAACTGAATGACAAATTGAAATAAAGCCAGCAAGAGATTCTCTCTCACTTTGAATCTGTCTGACCTCTTTTAAGGGCTCAGCTGATTAAGTCAGGCCCACCAGGATAATCTCCTTCGATTAACTCAAAGTCAGCTGCTTAGGAAACTTAATGACATCTGCAAAAATCCCTTCTGCTGTATCACATAATCATGAATATCTATCATCTTCTAAGCCCTGCTCACTCCAAGAAAGAAATTATATAGAGTATATATGTGGGGGTTGGGAATCTTGGGGGGGGGCATCTTAGCTTTTTGGCTACCCAAGGCTATAGTGTCTCTCTTGGTAGATTGGCAGAAGTATTTCATAGTTATTTTATGATTTCTTAGATCTTATTTATGTGGGGAGCTTTTTTACCTATCCATGCACATCGTGGTGTGATTCAACTTACTCAGCAGATGCTAAGTAAGAACTCTATATTCTGGGCACCCTCTGGAATTTTTTTATTATCTGAGATTCTAGATTATTTGGCTTTCAGTACACATCCAAGACTGACTGGTAAAACATTATGATTTGATTCAAATAGGTTTGTTACAGCACAGTATTCAAACATTTATTCTTTTGCCCCATAAACTACTCAGCCACAAACTATACATTAGGGCACTGCAGGTTAATCCTTTTGGAGATAGATTCACTTTTATTTAAATGTTCTGTTTTGATATACCATCCACTGGACATTTATAAATATAGTTGTTGTAAGTGATGCAGCTGCCTTACCCAAGAATATGGGATGTATTTGAAACATTGCCTAAATGAATATAGTGCCTAAATAAATTAAAATACTTAGCTGTGTTAAAAATAAAATTGGGACTATTCTTATCTAGGTGCTTTAATGCACTAAAGTACTTTAATGCACTTATTTCCAGAGTTTTTAAAAGACTTTATCAGATATTGTGGAAATCTGGGGATTTAAAATCATTTTGTGATCTTGAACCAAGTCCACTTGGTAGCATCTTACTTTGGTTTCTTAAGAGGTAGGGTAGGGTTATATTCTAAATACTAGAAGAGCCCTTCAGTCTGAAATCTATACAGTAAACTCTCATATTGGACTCATCTCTGGAGAACATTAATTTTATGCAACTAATACCTGGGGAGTTTGCAGAGGACATAATTTATTCTCTAAATCTATCAGATCATATTTGTGAAAACACTTTTGAAGTGTTTTAAACTGATATAAGCTGATACAACTTAGATTCATTGACCTTAGCATTTTTAATATTTTTTTCCTTAGTGTTTTGGGGTGTTTCACATTGTGGAGGGAGGGATGCTTAAATATTTAAGATGTTTTTAAAACCAAAGCTAGTCAATAAAGCATCACCAATGAGGTGTGCTTATCAGGCTGAGACTGGTTTGGACTAAATGGAAAAACCCAACTCAATCTTTACCTGGTCTGTTTTATTCCAAAAATAACCTTTTCCATTTTCTTTTCTTTCTTTCTTTCTTTTTTTTTTTTTTGAGACAGAGTTTCACTCTTTTGCCCCGGCTACAGTGCCATGGCATTAGCCTAGCTCACAGCAACCTCAAACTCCTGGGCTCAAGCAATCCTAACTGCCTCAGCCTCCCGAGTAGCTGGCACTACAGGCATGAGTCACCATGCCAGGCTAATTTTTTCTATTTTTGGTAGAGACTGGGTCTCACTTTTGCTCAGGCTGGTCTCGAACTCCTGAGCTCAAATGATCCGCCTGCCTCGGCCTCCCAGAGTGCTAGGATTACAGGGGTGAGCCACCACACCTGGCCACCTTTTCCATTTTCTAAGTGTGAGAGCCCTGACTAGCTGTGTCGACAAAACTGTGCAGAAGCACACCAGATGCACCGTGTTGTTAAAAGGTAATAGAATGAATAGAATGTATTACCGGCAGAAAGAAAGTGGGCTCAATAGTTTAACCTCCCTTTGGCTCCTGCCTCTGCTGCTCCTTAGTGATGAGAGCCAGTAGTTTAATCTCTGAGTCTTGTTTATTATCTGTAAAATGGGAATAATAATGCTTGCCTCAGGCATTATTGGGAGGATTAAATTCAACATAGTCTGTAACAACATAGGTAAATATTACTTCACTTGCTGTTGCGGCTCCTGCTACTGTTTGAGGGCTGTTTTGGTTTTGCTGCTATTGTTGGTTATGGAACAAATTAAGTACCAGATTTTTTCCAGCATTTAGGGAGCCATGTAATCAATCAAAGGGAACATGGTAATGGCAGTAGACGTTTAATTGTATTATATGTTTATATTTTGAGATTCAGAACAACTGTATGTTTGCTTATATGTGATTCTGTTTGTCAAATGAACTAACAGATGTAGCCTCTGAATACTGTTTGTGGGAAAGTGAAGGCATGGCAATGGTACCTAGAAAGTATAAAGATGCTGTTGGCTAGAGCAGGAAAAGCATATAAATAGCCTTGAGCAGGAAGGAGGGGCGAGTATATTCACGCCTAATGGGTGCAGCGAGCACCATCTGAGGGATGGACGTGACTGAAGCTCTGACTCGGGGCAAAGGCAGTATACATAACATTTGTACCCGTAATATGCTGCCATAAAAAAATTAAAAGAAAAAATAAATAAGTAAAAATAGTTTGAAAAGGTGAGATTTCTGATTGACTTTTTAAAAAATTTCTGATTATAGAGGCAGCATGGCCTAATCTAAAAGCTACGGATTTTATAAAACATCGAATAAGATTTGAATCTCAGCTTACCTGTGATTGAGTCTCCTTCAACTCTTGTTTTGGTCTCTGATCTTCCATTTCATCACCTGAAGCAGGAAACTGTTACTTCCAGGAAGGGTTATTAAGTAAAAGACCTAACAAACGATTGAGGGTTAAAACTGGCAGCTACTCTTGTTATTCTTCCTAACTTTTGATTATATGGGTCTGTTATAAATAAACTTATGTATAAGTCTTATCCAAATACTTTGACAGCTAACAAATAGCCATGGTTGAGCCCTTGCTGCTTCTCTCTGATTGAATCCTCCTACCTTTCCTGTTTGCCAGTCCTCTCTTCAGCGTAGTCGAGTAGGTGAGGATTTCCCCACTAGGTCAGCTTCAACCTGCTCTGGGCCTGGAGAAGGAAACTTGGAAGATAAGTGTAAACAGGTATATTGAAAACTGTGTACTAATTTCAGACAACGCACTTCACTGTTTGTATTTGAGATTATTAATACCAATTAGCCTTGTGAAGATACTGGAAGATTTTGAAGAAACCTAAAATTAATATAATACTACATGAGCGTGTGTGCAAACCTCTGTCAGTGTTTGTGTTCCGATGTATTCTGTGATTAACCACCTTTCCAGTGGAATAGTTGTGTCGAGTGTAGACCGCTACCATGTTTTAATGGAGTAGTAAAAAAGAGAAATGCTAGGCTGGGCCCAGTGGTGCAGGCCTGTAGTCCCAGCTGCTTGAGAGGCTGAGGCAGGAGGATCCCTTGAGCCCAGGAGTTTGAGGCTGCAGTGTACCATGATTGCCTTGTAAATAGCCACTGTACTCCAGCCTGGGAAACACAGTGAGACCCTTTAAAAAAAAAGAGAGAGAGAGAGAGAGAGATACTAAATGAGAAATGTCTGAAGATTTTGAGATACTTAAGTGACTTTTGAATCAACTTTAATGACAATCTGAGAAGTTGTTGTTTAATTAGAAAACTCTTTGCTTTTCCTCAGATTTTAAGTTTTCCCAAATTAATCCCAACACTGACATATTTGGCAAAGCTTTAGTGTCTTACCTGCTAGGAATAATTCCTTTCTGCTGTGAGATATGTAGCATTCAAGGCAGTTGGTGTCCCTAGGAGATCTCTGCAAAGAGTAGCAGTAAGATTTGACAAATCTTTTTTCCTTACTCATCAAACTTCACTATAAGGGTATAAGAATCCTTTCCTGGCCGGGCGCGGTGGCTCACGCCTGTAATCCTAGCACTCTGGGAGGCCGAGGCGGGCGGATTGCTCAAGGTCAGGAGTTCAAAACCACCCTGAGCAAGAGCGAGATCCCGTCTCTACTATAAATAGAAACAAATCAATTGGCCAACTAATATATATAGAAAAAATTAGCCGGGCATGGTGGCGCATGCCTGTAGTCCCAGCTACTCGGGAGGCCGAGGCAGGAGGATTGCTTGAGCCCAGGAGTTTGAGGTTGCTGTGAGCTAGGCTGACGCCATGGCACTCACTCTAGCCTGGGCAACAAAGCAAGACTCTGTCTCAAAAAAAAAAAAAAAAAATCCTTTCCTTTTAAGTTGCCACTTGATACTTAAAATAAAATGCTCTAGAGTTATCCATTCAAAAAAGTCAGCAGCACTCTGAGTTTTTTGTCTGGCTGCCTAATGGTCCTCCCTCTAGTGGAGACAACAGTTCAAAGATGTGGACAGAGCAGTGGCATACTCTACCTTTTTGAGTCATTATTGAACATGAGCTCTGCTCTACGCTTTTTTTAAATGCCTCCCTCCACCCTAGCTCCATATTTGAAATTGTTTCTTTAACGAGATCATATTGATGGTAAAGATAAATATAACCGACTTTTATTCCTTGCTTGGATTCTAATATTTTGACTTCTCATTAACTCTGAGGGTCATAGATAAAATATTTTGGAACAGTCTCATTCCTTGTAAAACTTTAGTGTAAAATCTTTTAAAAGTTGCATACTTGGGCTGTGACACATACCTGTAGTTCCAGCTATGCAGGAAGCTGAGGCAGGAAGATCATTTGAGCCCAGGAGTTTGAGGCTATAGTACCCTATGGCCATGCCTGTGAATAGCCACTGCACTCCAGCCTGGGCAATGTAGCATGATCCTGGCCCTTAAAAAAATGATACTTTTTACCCGTTTCTAGAACTTAGATCTCATTAGAAAAAGATTTTAGTTTAGAAATGGCTGTAAGCTACTAATTTTATAATTTGCTTCATGAAAAACCTCAAGTTAGTCTATGACATTAGATGACATGGTTCTGGGAAGAAATGTGGTCTTTTAAATACAGTATACATTTCACATGAAAATATACTATTCAAGAATATATGATGCATTTTATAATTTCAAATGCCATTTTCTGTCACAAAATCTAACTGCCTATACTTTTTTATTAAATTGATGACATTGGTGTTTTTTCCTGCTAAAACTCTTCTTCTTTCTTTCCCTTGTAGTGCAGTTTTTCTGCATGCATTGTTTTTTCCTAACATCTAATAAATGTTTTTTAAAAATATGCAGGTTACTTTGCATGATTTTTGCAAATTATTCTATAATATGAATATATAAATCATGTTAACAGTACATTACACTGGTGATGAAATAGGTTTCTTTGGATAATGATTTATTAAAAATGTTTAAATACTGAAACATAGAAAAGTATATTTTACTACAATCAAAAATAATGCTTTTTTGCCTGTGTCATGAAAGTACATTGGTCACTTGTGATTTAATTTGGGTAGAAAGACTATTAATTACTATATTTGGAGATCAAGGGTAAAAAGTAATGTGCTTTTTGCCCAATGCTTTGTTTAATGGATGCTTTTGAAATGTTGAAAAAGTCATTTTTGATTCTGTAAAGAATATTATTCTACTGATTACTTTTTAAATTCATAGTATCTTTTAATTTTTTCTTTTTTTTCCCACTAACCCCAGTCAACCTCCAATAATTAATTTCTTATATTTAGGGTTTTTTTCTTCTCTATGCACAAAATAATAGTTTTGTCCTAACTGGACCTAGAATTAATTTTGGCATTTTAAAAGTATTGCAATATTTTGTGATGTTCGTTTCCAAAAAATTTAAGCGAGCACATTTTTATGTAATGGAAAAAAATATTCCGAATAATTCAATCCTAAAATTTACAGTCTTTAAAAAGATTTTATGCTTTTGTAAAAATGAAAAAGATGTTTGCATACATGAACAGTTTTTTCATAATGTCTTTTCCCTTCTCTTGACTCTTAGAAATTAACAATAAATGCCAGTTAGTATTTACTAAAAAAATTTTTTGGGGTGTAGCTTTTGTAAATCAAGACCCTTGTCATTAATTCATTTAGGCATTACTTTTTAAACTCAGATTGCCTGCTACTAAATCAGTACCATAAAAAGCACATTACCTGCTAGAAAAGCCCAAATCTCATTTAGCTATTCTTATTTCGGCTAATTGCTTTCACCACCTTGCTGCTACAGTCATTACAAGCAATCCTGCAGTACGTTGTCTCAATTATTAGGAATAAAGGAAAGTAGAACATTTTCCAAAAGACTAAAGAGCAAGTTTTTAATTTATACTCCTTTGAAGTCTGGTTTGCTTTTCAAAAGTCTCTCTCCTTGGTTCATAGGCATAAAACTAGGAGTTTTTCAGATGCATTTAAAGTCTTTTCCTAGGATTTCTTGGTCAAAAGGAGTGGGGTTGAGGAAAAGTGGTGTCTCAAGATAACCCAGGGCAGCTTGTTTAAAAATATGTCCTTTCCAGGATGTACTGGAAACCCTGTCCAGTTCTGAATTATTACAGTGGCAATAATCTTAAGCCTTTTTAGATTTTTTCATTGTTTCATTTACCTACTTACCAGCTTCCTTCCTTGTGCCAGCCGACAAAGGATAAGTTACAAGAATTTATTATTGATGTGCTGTGGAAATCGAAGGCCAGGGCCAGGATTTATTTTCTAGATTAAACTCAGACTATTTGTGATTGATAATATTATTTTCTCCAGAAGTTTTTTTTTTTTTTTTAAATGCCATGAGTGCCCTCTTATTAGCATTTAACTTATACAAAAATGTTTTCTTTTAAAAACAATTTTAATGAACATTTTGACTAAGACATGTTATTGCACATTACATGAATTAATCGTGGTTTCTTTTTCTAGGCAGCACAAATTGTGCTAATCTCTCTGTTTGAACTGAATACTCCTGAATTTACCATGTTACTTGGTGCCTTGCCAAAAACATTCCAGGATGGTGCCACCAAACTCCTGCATAATCACCTCAAGAATTCCAGTAACACCAGTGTGGTGAGTGCTTTCACTACTAGTGCCCGTTTGCTGACCATGATCTCGGTGTGTCCCTTGTCTTGAACCTTCTTTTAAATGGAACAGCCAGTTTCCTCATTGTTTTTCAGTAGATGTGAGCATCTTCAGGGTCAGGGTTATGTCAGATCCTGCCATATGCCCAGTGAATAAATGAACCTGGTACTTAAATAGGGCCTTTTTCTTAGCTTAGGTTGTTCAATCGGTTACATTTTTACTAGGTCATCTAATTATCACTCATTCATTGAGTTGGTCTTATTTTTGAACACTATAAAAGTTCCAAATGTTCAACTGTGTCTGTCACTCTAGCACAACTGACATCAGTCATTTGATTCCAGGAATCAAATGCCTCTATGACTGATGTCGATCCATTTTTGGTTTATATACACTTAAAATTGGCCTATGATTCTGAAAAAAAATTATTCTGGGAAGATTCTACACATTTATTTATATATGGGTTAAAAGACCAAGAGAAGAGTGGTATGCAGCTCTTGAATAATGATGCCCATTCTGCGTTCACCCCAGGGCTCTCCAAGCAATACGATTGGCAGGACACCCTCCCGGCACACCAGCAGCAGGACTAGCCCCCTGACCTCACCCACCAACTGCTCCCATGGGGGTCTGTCTCCAAGGTAAGGTCATTTCCACAGAAGTAAAGCAGCTAAAGCACCTCAGTGTCTGTGCAGCCTATTTCTAGATTTTTAGACTAAGTTTAATACCAAAAAGAGTATTAAGTATCAGTAGATCATAGATTCTAGTCCTCCCTCAAATTGTAACTGTAATCTTGGGCAGAGTGTAATTTCTATGGTAAAATGAGTGGTCTGTGCTGAATGTTCTCTGTGGTTCTTCTAGCTCTAAACATTCTCTACTACCTTGTAGATTTTAAAACTGAAAGTTATGTTTAGTACTTTTACATAGAATCCATGTAGAAGTTCATTACCTCATCTATAAGTGATAAGAGAACCTGAAGGTGCTTAGTCATCTATGTAAACCTTTTATAGCCAGTCCACACAAAGTCTAGAGTAGTTTTCTAATGAAATAGCCATTCCAAGCATAGTTGATATCATGTTTGAAGCAGGATGCTGTTCTGAAGGGCTGTGATTTAGAATCTGGGAACTAAAATTGGATTAGGATTCTTAGACTCTTGTTGGAACCATGTGCACATTGGCCTTATGGAATGTGGGCAAGTGACCTAAAAAGAGAAAATCCTTTGTCTAAGGGACTTAGATAATACCTCACGATCTGACCAGAGTCTTTAGAAGTCTGCATAGTGGCTTAGTGACACCCTCATTTGGGTTAGAAGTCATCCATGGCCCTACTCAGAGTAGTGGCCCTATAGGCCAGAATTTTTAGAAAAGAACCAGTGTCTGGACCAGCAAGGAGCACAAATGTTGTTTGTCCACAAGTCCAGATCTTCAGGATCACTGGCAAGAGGAACCAAGAAACTTGTCCTGAGGATTGCTGGCACCAAGATTTTAAAATGAAACAAAAATATCATAAATATACTATTTTCCCTTTAAGGGTTATCTCTTTATTAGGAAAATATCAAAACATAATTTAAATTTAAATTTTTTAATGATCAAAAGTCTCCCAAATTCCTTTCTTACCACTAAAGTTTGCTTTAGTTCTTCAGTCATCCTTTAAATATTTGGAACATAACCAATTTGTATTTTTGTTTGATAAAACAAAGTATTTGATACACCTTTGGTATCTTGCTATTTATATTGCTTTATGTTTACTTTCCCAAATATCCTCCTGTACTATTTTTACATAAAATGAAGCATGATATTATGTCTTCAAGTTTGGTCTGTGTTGTCATGATTTCAGCAGGACCATTGAGACCAGAGACTAATGAAGATATGTCTAATTTTCCCCAGGTGTTACTGAGGCTTAGCCAACTTTTTTCTTAATGGTAACATCTGTATCTGAAGAATATGGTGTGTCTTAAATGACCTGAGTCCAGTGTTGACAGTAAAATCATAAAGTTCCTGGTGGGCGAAATTTTACGGAAAACTTGAATTATCTGTAAATTGTTGGCATTTGTCTAGAAGTGATACTTCTACAACATAATTGAGAAATCTGTTCTTCCGTTGTACACAGTTCATACATCTTATCTTTTAGTTATTGCATGAATTAGGGTGGGGCACATTCCTTAGGTAATAAGCAAAAAGATAGAACTCGAATTAAGTACTTTGTTATTATATATGCAAATAGTCTAAGAAAAAAATTGGTAGGGGTTGCTAGCATCAGCACTAAGAACTGGCTAGATACCTTCATGGATCCCTGAGTCATTAAAAGTTTTATTTTTCAGATCATCATTGCTTCTTAATTGTCCTCATCCTAATTTTTACTGTTAGGATTACAGATCAGTGGAAGAAATGAATAGATTTACTTTTAATGTCAAAAAGTTCAAGTGTGGCCTATATATTTTCATGTCTTCAAATTATTCTTTAGGGAATTAGTTATATAGTTTCTTTCTTTTTAAGGAAAAAAAAACTGCTCTCATCCAATATATAAATAGCCCAATGGCCTTAGCCAACTTGAGCTCATAAGAGAAATGATTTTGTCACCACTAAAACTTTCCAGTAGGGGGAAAAACTGCTCATCATGTCACTAGAAATACTCAAATCAACTACATACTTTCTAACAGGAAACTTATAAAAGGATTGGATTCTCACACCAAACGGGAGACTTGACTGGGTTACCTCATTCGAAGGAAGTGATAAACCAGGTCTACAGTATATAATCTCAGCTATTTTTCTGAGTAGTGCAAGAAACATTGATTTTCTGTGACCTGATGTTCTTTCAAATGATCATGACCATATGATGTGAGCTTTTTATTCTTAAAAGAAAAGCTATTACCAGTTACATGTTTTTAATCTAATTTTGAGCATCAAATTGAACTGTTTTTTTAGTCCAAAAATTCTATACTTGGATGGATCATAGTGATAATAAGGAACTATTCTAATATAAACAAATTTAATTTGATAGTTTTTTTTTCACTAGTGAGGAAGTCATTTTTATCAACCCAGTAGTATTAGAGGTGCCATACATCAGGCATCCTCAAACTACGGCCCTCAGGCCACATGCGGGTGTTTTTGCCTGTTTGTTTTTTTACTTTAAAATAAGATATGTACAGTGTGCATAGGAATTTGTTCATAGTTTTTTTTAACTATAGTCCGGCCCTCCAGTGGTCTGAGGGACAGTGAACTGGCCCCCTGTTTAAAAAGTTTGAGGACCCCTGCCATAGATAACAGATTAAACTTCTGTAAAACATTCCATTACTCATCATTTCTGTATGACAGAAGAATCACTGTTTATTACCAGCTAATACACAAATACCACTTGATATTTAGAGAGGAGCTTTATGAGCTAGAGTCTTTAATCATTAAACCCATTTATATTTTACCCAGTGTGATTTTTTGGGTAAATGAAAAACAGAGTTGTAGGGGACTTCAAAAAGCATCTGAAGTCCATTTCGTTTATGAAAAAAAGAGTATATGGTGCTACTTGCTGTAGTCTGCCACATGTTCTTGGCAAACATGTCATAGAGCAGGATGGCACTGCAGAAATATCCTTTGTGTCCCATAGCAGTAGAAGTAATTGTAGGTAGATTTTACATTCCTCTCGGTCAGAGCATCGATAGGATGAAAGTTGGGGTTAACTGGAGACCCTCCCCCACACTTGGAGGTGGGTACGTCTGCCTTCTCCTTCCCCATCAGCAGAGCCCCAGTATGAAGTGTCCCCCGTGTTCTTCTTGTGCCCTCACCTCCCACCCAGTGTGTGACTTGGAGAAGGTCTTTAGACCTCTCTGGCAGTGACCTCTCATCTCCACACCTTATTTTGCTTATAAAACCACACCTGGGCTTGCGGAGGTGAGTGTGCGTGCCGGGCCCTTGCCACGAGGATGCCAGTGAATGCGGACGCAGGCAGGGCTGCTCTGCAGGCACCTGTCTCTGGTGCGTGGACTCTGCCCTCAGCCCCACCCACGTCACCGGCCGGTCCAGCTCCTCCCTTCACCACTCTCTCATGCCATCCTTTTGAATTGCAGCAGTTTATTAGAACTTACCTTTGAGGCCTCTGCAAGCCCAGGTCACCCAGGGACATTTGTGAACTGAAGACAAATACCTGTGCTCCAAGGTGAATTTTAATTGTCATATTAGGTGATATAAACAGAGGAATTTGGTTTTTTTGGCTCTCCTACTCTGAGCTGGCCAGCTGAGACTTACTGCCCTAGCTTTCTAGTGGTGCTGCAGTTCTTTCAGAAGGAAATCGCTTGTGGGGGTCTCTGAACTCCACCTGATGGATCCCGGCCCCAGAGACCACAATTGTCCCACGCCGGAGTGCTCTTGTCAGAATAGCAAGGTCTCTGAGTCTTCCTGCTGGAGTCCCTCTGGTTGCATTTGAATTGAAGCCCTGTAATTCCTTCTTTGGTTCTTTCTAAAACAACTGAAGAGTTATCACAAACTGAACATCCATATTTTCTTGTCAGTGCTTGTGACATCCTTCCCAACACATGCAGACATACTCACACGTACACACACTTTCATACGTAGACACACTTGAAATCTCACGTGATTTTAAGTTGTAAATGCATCCCATGGTTGGGAGGGAAAAGAATAAAGCAATCTTATTAAGGATCAAATTGTAAAACGAAATTTGTTTTTTTCCTGTATGCGATGAAGTGTTAAATTTGCTCTGATTAATTTTCATAGAACTTTGTCAAGGAAAGAGGAGACTCTAAGACACTTAGAATAGAGTGTCTTCCTCCTCTCCTCCCTTTTGCCTTTTGTGTTTCTCTCTCTGACTTTCCTCTTCTGATCACTGCAGTCGGTTATGGGGTTGGAGTGCCGATGGGTTATCGAAGCACCCACCTCCCTTTTCTCAGCCTAACTCCATTCCCACCGCTCCCTCCCACAAGACTCTCAGGCGCTCTTACTCTCCCAGGTAACACGCTACCTGTTAAACTTGTCTGAGGTGTCACAATATTATTGCATTTCCAAAGTCGTATCAGGTCTTTTGGAAAGCCTCTCAGCTGCCTCCAGTGTGGTCCCTGCCTTGGCGTGGCCTAGCAGGAGGAGAGCCTTGGTGAGAAGCGTGAGCAGGTGTGTAGCCTTTGCCGAATCACACGAGTATGGCTCTGGCCATGTCACAGGAACAGATGACTCTTTCATCCCCTGACTAGGTTCATCACTGTCTACTATGGTAGGCCTTTCGGCCTAGTGCCATGCTCAGCCCCCAGAAGAAGCTCAAGAAATGCCGGGGAGTCAAGGCAAGCGATAGTGGGAACAGTGCCCTTAGCATGCTCCCCAAGTGCAGCAGGCCTTCCACTACGAAACAAGAGACACACTCGCTGTCAGCATTGCTATTGACTATGTGGCTGTTGTGTGGTGATAGTCTGAGCACACAAATCCAGAAAGGAAGCCCCAGGAGTTGGGATCACTGTTCCATGTCACTGCAGATGCCTCTAGGAAGGAGAGCTGTCCTTCACCTCACAAGCCCCTGCTGAGTGAATCTTACAGACACTGGTTGAATCTGATGATGATGTGAGTCTAGAAGAAGGGGTGGGCTTCCCTTAAATATTAATACAGATGGTAAATCTGTGCTATGAAGAGGGGGCCACATAGTACTCAGATGTTTACTTGAGGGTCTCTTGGGGTGATTTTTGTAAAGGTCCAAAGATCAGAGAATCCCATCCCTAGAAACCTGTTAATGCACAGGGCAGTCCAGCTGTCGTTATGCCTTGCAAGATGAGTTTGTACCTTCTGTGATGGGACAGGAATTAAAAAAAGAGACAGTCTGTTGCTTTTGAAATGCTTTATAGATAGCTTTTGCATAGAAGATTTGCATTTCTACTTTTGTATCCTCAACATAGCAAAGCCAAGCACAGTAAACAAGTCTGCTAAATATTTTAACAACATCTTTCTTTTGAAGCTCTTACAGCTCTAAAAGTGACTTCTAAAGTTTACAGAGAACCCTATGATGAGTTTTTCTAGATACACAAGGTTAGAGCAAGCAGACAAGGAGACGGCTGCTGTCTTTAATGTTAACAAAGCATGTCGCTGTCTTTGTTTAAGGTTAGCTGTGCATCTGTCAGTTACATGAGGGGATCTGTCTCTCTTTGCTCTACGCCAAAATCCTATTGATTTCATAACAGGGAATGATTATCCTTACTCCATACCTAGCATTCTTTCCCTACAAAATGACAAAGAAGAAAACCTTAGAAGGGAGACTTCCTCTCTCCAGTTTCTTCTTGGAGACCCACGTTTCTCCCCACCCTGGATAGGATCCTTTAGAGGGCAAGCCAAGGCCTGCATTCAGCTTCAGTATTGGGTGACACAGCCTGACCTTAGGTCAGTGACTGTTGGCTGAGTAACTTCCTAATCTAAAGAACCCTAAGGAAAGCCTTCTGGGGTCTAGTCATTGTGTTTACAGGTGACTAGGACCTGGCCTTTAACCCAGAGGATTATGTCCTGTGGTTACCTCAGAGCTGAAATGACAGACAGTGGGCAGATGGCAGCTTGAGAAGACCTAGATCTCTTCTCAGTCACCTTCTGAGGCTGTGCTGCTGCTCCCCATTGTCTTTCTTGTGAGGACACGGCATCTACTCCCTGATGGAGCCGTTCACAGGAAGTTCCTTTTTTCCTGTGAAGGGAGGACTTATTGATGTATATATTTTTTTTAAAAGGCATATCACGGTAAAGAATAAAAATAGAAAGAAAGTAGCAATGTCTGTTTCCTGTTAGAGGACAACAGTATGTCTCTCACCTGGAGCTCACAGTTTTAGCTTCATACCAAGGAGATACTTCAATCCTCAAGCTAGTGCATCTAAACGAAGTCACCTCAGATTGCACCTAGACAATTCATGGTGCTCCTGAATTGGAAGCTTGAGTTGGTTTAATACTTTAAAGTGAGAAGGAGGAACATTACCTGGCAGAATACTTTATTTTCTTATTTTAAAAAGAGGCTATTATGATGGTAAAGTTGTATGAACTGAAATGAAATATTTTAAGAAAGTTCAGGTTAAGAATAATGAGATGAATGATCTGAAAGCTAACATTATCTGAAGCGACATGTGGAAAATAATATTGTGACATCCCTTACACAACTTGAACATTCCTCCGGATTTCCTCTTGTCCATCCCATCATTCTTTCTGTTTTTAATTGTTTTTTCTTTTGCATGGGCTATGCTATATTATTTTTGGTTGTTGTGATTAAAAGTATTTTAAGGCATTTTTTTTTTTACATCTTGTATATATTTTTTGTTTGAGTCATAATACTCAGTCTTTATAAATATAAAAAATATTGTACTGGCCAGATGTATAAATGCCTTTGCTCATATGTAAGCTAGTATTTGGTGTTCTAAGAAAAGAGAGTAGGGAGCCTCTGGCACCTCAGTCATACTTTATTTAGCTCCAAGGGGTCTTGCCTCATAGACAGACAGCCTCGTTGTGAACTTAGAAGGCATTGAGATTTTGAATTCTCTTCAGGTTTTTAATTCCACCCCCATCAGTGTATACATGGAATTTCAGCTGCAAACGTGTTCAAAGTTCACATTTCTTTTCATTTGATGCCAGAGCCAACCTTTGAGTTGGCATGTATTTTTGTAAACTCTCCAAATACAGTTGAGGTGTGTTTTTTCTTCCATTCATCAGGAAAGATGGGTTCTATCTGGGCCAGTTTTGCAATTTAGGCAAATAGCCTCCATCTCTGGGGAGTGAGTTCAGATCTCACTCTAGCCTTAGAAAACACTTGGAACATTGCAACCTTAAGCCGGCAGAGATCTGGCAACTCCAAGTGAGAGTCTCCAAATCCTGTATTGCTCATCTACCCAAACTTTTTTTTAAAATGGAAGGAGGGGCTTAGTAAATGTTAATTGTTTTTATGTCACAGGAAACTTGCTTCTTGGGGGAATATAACAGAGTTGGTTGTCTTGGCATTAGGATGGGTTCCCACCAGTGAGTGCCTGGTCTCTTCAGTTACTAGTCTTTGAAGAACAGAAAGAGTACTCTTTAGTTCTTAATAAAGTTGCATGCTCACTTATACACAGCCAAGGATTCTTTGAGCATCCCTAGCAATCCTCAGTAGAGCTCAGGATTTCTGCAAATTAAATTAGACTAACTCATCTCATCTTTTCTTGAATATGTTCTTAAAACAAGTGACAAATAAGTTAAAATTTTTTTTTACTTGCCCTTGGTTGACTGTTGCTTCCTATTTTGCTTTCTTTATGCCGTCCTGTGCTTTTCTTTGATAGTCTCAGTGAGGGCAATGATGGTTTTGTTCTCAGGATCCTCCCTGTTTCCATATACTTTTCAGACATCTAAAGGGCACTTGCTGACAAACTATATTACACGAAAAGACTGTTTAGCTTTTCTGTTTAATTTCATGTTTTGCTATGCTCATTGTCTAAAAAGACAGCAGTTGACATCACTTTTCCATGAGGGACAAATATTTCTTGCTTTTAGAAGGGTTTTTAGATGTCTATCCAGGAATGTGACCTTTTATAAAATCTGCTTTTATTATTAAACTCCAGTGGAAGCATCCAGAAGAGTCTTGATATTCACAGCAAACTCCTGGGTTAGATGACATGAGAGTTAGACTTTCAGGAGCCCGTTGGTGGGGTGGCTCTGACTTTGAGTCATAGAGTTGCTTTGTTTTTGTTCTCTTAAATAGGCTTTTGTTAGTTTTCTAGATTGGAATCTGGCAAGTGTAACCCAGTCTTGTGAGGTCATTTGCTTTGCTCCTGTAAAATCTTTTCTAGTACTAGCTTTATTTCCAAGTGCCCATTTTTCTTTCTTTAAGTTTGTACATTTGAGACCAGTAACAACCAAACTACTTTTTTCCATCTTCAAGATAAGAAAGTTATTTTTCCACTTTCATTACCTTGTGCATTCAGTCACCAATTGTCACTCTTTGAGTTTGTGCATTCTCGTGGTTTATTGTTGTTTCCCACTGGTTCTTATTGAGTGCTGATGTAATGTGTTTAGGACCAGATGTGACAAGGAAGATGTATAATTGTCCAATGGTGGTACTTTAACAAATGATGTCTGCTTTTCATTCCAAATCACCTAAAGAAACAAAACTATAATTATATTTTACTCTGTTGATTATTGGAAGTAACTTATGCCCATATCTCAATTTTATGCATATGCCTCAATTTAAGAAATAAAATATTTTTGATCCTTAGCATGCTGGACTATGATACAGAGAACCTGAACTCTGAAGAAATCTATAGTTCTCTGCGTGGAGTTACAGAAGCCATTGAAAAGTTTAGTTTTCGAAGTCAAGAGGATCTGAATGAGCCGATTAAACGAGATGGCAAAAAGGATTGTGATATTGTAAGTATCCCCAGGCTAAAAGAGAACAACATATCAATTAAATGACACTTACTGAGTCTTCTGAACACTGACTACCTTGGTTATTGAACTTCATCATTATTTTTATTCTATAGTTAGTATTTTTCCCTTTTATTTTTTGGTTGACACATAGATAATTGTACATATTTGTGGGATACAGAGTGATATTTCAATACCTGTATACAATGTGTAATGGTGAAATCAATGTAATTAGCATATCCAACACCTCCAACATTTATCACTTTTTTTGGGTTGGGAACATTTCAAAATCCTCTCTTCTAGCTTTTCAGAAATATACAATAAGTTATTGTTAACTATAATTACCCTACAGTGCTATGGGCACTAGAACTTAATTTTGTACCAGTTAGCCAACTTCTCCCCATCTCCCCCTCCCTCCTCCAGTTCTCAGCCTCTGATAACCACAGTTCTGCTCTCTACTTTTGTGAGCTCAGTTTTTTAGCTCCCACATATGAGAAGGTGCAGTATTTCTTTCTGTGTCTAAGTTATTTCATTTAACATAATGTCCTCCAGTTCCATCCATGTTGCTGTGAATGACAGGATTTCATTCTTTTTTACAGCTGAATAGTATTCCATTATATGTATATATGTATACCACATTTTCTTTATCCCTTCATTCATTGAGAGACACTTAGGTTGATTCCATATCTTGGTGATTGTGAACAATGCTGCAGTAAACATGAGGGTTAGGTATCACTTTGATTTATACTGATTTCCTTTCCTTTGGCTAAATACTCAATAGTGAGAGTACTGCATCATATGGTAAATCTATTATTAGTTTTTTGAGAAGCCGCCATACTATTTTCCATAGTGGCTATACTGATTTACTTTCCCACTAATAGTGTATGAGAGTTCCCTTTTCTGCACATCCTCACCGGCATTTGTTATTTTTTATCTTTTTGATAATAGCTGTAGAATAGTAGTATTTTAAGAGACCCAAGACAGTTTTACAAAAGTTCAAAAGAGTAACCATTAGCTATCTTTGTGAGGAATGTCAAATCCAGGTTGCTTTTGTTTCTGCTAGGTATAGTTTTGTTCCTGTGATGTGACAAAAATGGTAAGCCTGAACCAGACACCAATATGGCTGTCCGGGAGCTCGGGTCTCTGGGAGAGGTGGCAGATAAGCACGAGACCATGGTGCATTGGGTGTGGTTGGGGCTTGACATTCAGGAGACATACCGGCCAGTCTCAGCGCTCAAGGATGCAGAAGAGAAGTTGTCCTCTAAGTGGAAGCGTGAAAGTCAAGATGATTCTGTCAGGCAAACAGGAGGGTTCTAAGCAGAGAGGAGGGCCTCTACAGAGGCTGAGAGATGGGATTGGCACCGTGTGACTTCCCATTCAGGGTGGCGGAAGTAGAGAGTGCGGGCAGATCGTGTGGCTGGGGAGGTCCAGAGCAGGGCTACAGAGGCCAGCTCAGGAAGGAAGCCCACCCCAGGGATTTCCACCAGAGACTACCCTGGGGACGCTCGAGAGTCTTTGAAGGATTTTTAAGCAGGGAAGTGATATGGTCATACTTATTTGCTGTCCCTGTGGGATGGAGAATAATAAAGTTTTTTTTAAACACTTTCTCCTTTTATAAATAATTTTTTATTATGACAGTAATATATTTTTTAGAAGAGTTACAAAAATTAAAATCATCCATGAATTTTTTCCCAACCAGAGAAAATCCCTGTTAAGATTTGATTTATACATTTTCAGTCTTAATTTGTTCATATCTCTGCATATATTATATATTCTTTTTGCATCCTAATTAAGTTAATATAGAAATCTTGTTTTTGTGTGTTAAAAACCAAATGCATCTCAGCACTTCCACTAGGCATATATCCAAAAGAATTTCAAGCAAGGACTCAAGCAGATATTTGTGCACTCATGTGCATAGGAGCAGCATTATTCACAGTAGCCAAGAGGTGGAAGCAACCCAAGTGTCCATCACCAGGTGAATGGATAAACAGAATGTGCCATATACATACAATGAATATCATTTAACCTCAAAAAGGATGAAATCTGATACTTGCTACAACATGGATAAACTTGAAAATCTTACGGCAAATGCAATAAGCCAGTCACAAAAGGACAGATATTTACAATGCCAGTGACATGAGGTGGTCTGGGCACCTAGTATAGGCAAATTGATAAAGAGTGAAATAGAGGCTACCATGGGCCAGGGGAAGGGGCAAGAGAATGATTAGGTAATAGGTACAGAGTTTTGATTGGGGAAAATGAGAAAATTTGGGGTATACATAGTGGTGATGGTTACACATTGTAAATGTATTTAATGTCACTGAATTATACACTTACAAATGGTTGCAATGATATGTTACATCTATTTTTCCACAACTTGTACACAAATATATGGTGTAAGTGCTAAATGAGAGAGACGCGTCTTTCCAGCAGTGCAAGTATAAACTTTTGTCGAAAGAATCACCACAAAACGTTTCCACCGTTGTGTAGTCACTTGTCTGGGATGAGGAAAACGACGGTCTTGCCAGATTGCCAGCAGTAGCCCACACTTGCCTGGTCACGGGGCCACCCTGCAGAGGGAGCTAGACTGGCCAGAGCGCCTTAAAGAGAGGATCCCAAGAGCAGAGGGGTCCAAACCATAGCACAGGGGCCAGAGGATAGCGCTTGCAATATACTAGGGAAAAAAACAAAACTCAGAAAATACTGAAGACCTATGCTTTGACCTAGCACCAAGAACAGAGATACCCGAGCAAGAGTGACCTGCCTGGGAAGGGAGGTTACTAAGCATGGTCGGGCTCAGCCCTTGGCGGGAATACATGCAGCAAGTACAACGGGCGTGGGCCTGGGCGGAGTGCCTCAGGTTTTGTGCTGGCGGCGGTGGGGCTGTTCCCGTGGGTGTTGGGTGGGGCCTCAGGGAGAAGGGCTGACTGTAGGGTGAAAGCCCCAGGGTGCAATGCAGGCCTGCCAGAGTCCTCTAGGGGGTGTGGGGTGGTCAGCCTTCCCTTCTCAAGGGCTCTTCAGAATTTCATAGTATAAATCCCTCAGAAAACATTTGAGTAAAATGAATCACCAAGTTACAAAGTAAAGCAGATTTGAAGTGTAAATGGATGAATAGCTGCAAATGTAGGCATGCTCTGTTCCTTTCCTGGCGGTTTATGAATTTGGTAATTACAAATTGGAATACTAATAACTGTTCTTTTGTCAGTGGCCAGATTTCAAGTGAAAATCTTTGGCCCTCCTAATGTTTCTGAGCGTTAAAAGGCAAAGTCTATTAAAAGTCCCTGAAGGGAGCTGACAGTGTGCTGTGCTCTAGGTGTCCCGAGATGGGGGCGCGGCGTCCCCGGCCACTGAGGGCCGGGGCGGTAATGAAGTGGAAGGAGGCAGGACGGCGCTGGATAACAAGACCTCCCTCCTCAACACCCAGCCTCCACGCGCCTTCCCAGGGCCACGGGCACGAGACTACAACCCGTATCCCTACTCAGACACCATCAACACCTACGACAAGACAGCCCTGAAGGAGGCCGTGTTCGACGACGACATGGAGCAGCTTCGAGACGGTTGGTCTCTCTTTGCTTAATTGTCCCAGTCCCGAAGTGCTTCCTGCGCTTCCCCTCCTTCCTAACCAGCTGGGGCTGCTGGTCCAACATAAACGGAGAGGCTGGTTAGAACAGTTCCAGTTAGTCATTTGTTCAGAAGCTGTGTACTGAGTCCCTACTGTGTGCTAGAACAGTGAACAAAAGCACAGGCAGTCCCTGCCCTATTGAAGTCTAGTTGAGGAGGCAGTCAGGAAATAGCCACGCAGTGTAACACTGCCAGGCTGACTGTGCCATCGGGGAGGCCTGAGTGCAGAACTAGAATCTGACCTGGAGGGCGAGGGCAGCAGGACTGTATGAGGTGAGGCCATGGCATTCCCAGTGTGGAACGCAGCATTTACAAAGGCCTCTGGCCTGTCCTTCCCAGTTCTGTGGGCTGCAGAGTAAGGTCCTGAGCTCTGCTGAGAGGCGCCCTCTTCTCTTGCACCAGCATTAACCAGGTCTTCCTGGAGCCACGTGGACTGTGTGCTGCAGATGGGAGAGAGGGGATGTAACAGACACATGCTTGCATTACCATATGCTCATGCCGACTGAGTGTTGTGTATATTTCATTTAATTGAGATAGAGAGGATTGTTCCCATTTTACAGATGTAAGAAACTGAGGTTCAGAAAGGTTAAGCTACTTGCCCAAAATAAAGCATAGGCAGTCTGGAGCAGAGCTAGTCTGTTTTTTTCTGACTCCTGTGTCCATTAGTGCATAACTAGTGAGTAAGTATGTATTGATATGATGGTATTTTTATCTGGAGCTTAATTATTTCCATATTTACTTCACTGTCTTTTTCACACATTTTAGTTTATTTCAACTTGATGGTTATTTTTTAAATTATATATAGGTTTAGTTTTAAAGCTTGTTGTTCTCTAAGTTTGAATGATGAATTGGAACCCTAAATTAAAATTATAAACAGTTAACATTCACTGAGGGTCCCCTGAGTGTTCTGAGAGATAAGTGAGACACAGTCCCTGGCCTCAGAGAACTCAAGGCCTATTGGGAACAGACTTGATCACACTAGTACAAGAGGAAGGCCGTGCTAGAGGCAGATGCCAGATTCTACGAGGACACAAAGGAAAGAAAGCTGCACTGTTCAGGAATCAGTGACGGAATACTGAGATAGAAGAGAAGTCCTCCTGCGGTTTGAAAGCAGAAGTGTCTTCAGGAATCGAAAGTGTCATCCCCTGGCTATTAGTTGCTAATTGCTGGTGGGTAGCAGCTCAGTCTGTGCCCAAGCATCTGTCTGCTGGGCAGGCGGCTAATGGGATGTAGTATTTATGACTCACGCTTTCTGTGAGAAGTAGACTATTCTTTTCATTGCCTACTGAATTGGCACATCATTTACCTTATCTATTGTTGATCTTGATTAAAGTAGAATACAGATTAGAGTATTGGTTATTATTGACCAACTGTGTACTAAAAGGCTTAAAGAAAAAAGTGGGATGGCAGAGAGAAAATGACAAGAGTTCTTTACCATTTCAGACTTCCTTGAATGTTTGCTCCCTAATCTTAGAAGCTAGAGAAATATGCAAATACACATTTAAGTAGTTCCTAATGACTTGTCTGATTGGTTTGTTTTTTCATCCTCTCTATTTAAAATTGAATATTCAGAGGCAAAGTCTCTTAAGAGAACATAGGAAGAGAAAGGTTGTGCCTTTCTGCCATATAAACCATGGTTCAAGTCCCCACAAGTAGTTATGCTAAATGATCTTGAGTCAGTTTTTCAGCCTTTGAATAGATAGTCCACGAATTGTCCAAACACCTTGATTGGGATTTGTTCACCATGCTGGTTCCTAAGCTCTGGACATTCAAGAAGGGAATAGATATTAATCAGATGTGATAGTGAGGAGGCCTTGAGGAAAACGTGTGTATGGGAGAGAGTGTGGGAAAGGACAGTGGAGGAGGCTTGGGAGGTGCTGGCATTTCTCCTCATTCTGAGGTGGAAGGGGAGAGAAGGGATGGAAGGGTGAAGACATTGACTGCTGGCACTGGCCTGCTGGTCTCGCACCTCTGCTTTCACAATTAATTTGGTGAGAAGGTCTGCAGAGGGTGTGCAGGCTGAGGCTAGCAGCAAAGTGGGGCGGAGGGCGGAAGGGACTGGTGGAGGGCGTCGCCTCTGGGAGACAGGGCAAGCAGGGAAGACTCACTGGGCACCACTGAGGGAGCCCCTGTGCCAGTGCTACTTCGTGAGGTGACTTCTGTCTTGTGTGTCTCCAGTGCCCATTGACCATTCTGACCTGGTGGCTGACCTTCTGAAGGAGCTGTCCAACCACAACGAGCGGGTAGAGGAAAGGAAGGGCGCCCTGCTGGAGCTGCTCAAGATCACGCGGGAGGACAGCCTGGGGGTCTGGGAGGAGCACTTCAAGACCATTCTGCTCCTGCTGCTGGAGACCCTCGGAGACAAAGATGTGAGGCGCTGATTTGGCCTCCCCTTGCCCCTTTCCATGTAATGGGGTCACGATGTCCTTTTCTTGTCCGCGTTGGGTTCAGCTTTCCTTTCTGGATTGTGCTTGCTGTTTCCATTAGAATATTTATTTGTTCACATATTTTCTGAGCATTTATTAGTAAGGTAATGTCTTTTATCAGTGACAGGTTTCATCTTGGCTCATATGCAAGTTCTGTCTTATGTGTAACTGGGTTTGTAGTAGTTGAGGGAAACTTATACTTGTATCTAGTATTTTAATGCAGAATTTCTTAAAACTTTGTTAGCATAGAACGTGGTCTTTTAGGATGCACTACTTTCTTTGTGTGGTTCATTTTTATTTCATGTGTAATTGAGAAATAGAAAAGTTTATTTTTTCAAAAACCTTCATAAATGCTACATTCCATGAAATTCTATTCTGGTTTACCCCTACATAGATTAACAGTTCTAGTACTATTTTTTTTTTTTTTTTTGAGACAGAATCTCACTGTGTTGCCTGGGTTAGAGCGTCATGGCATCAGCCAAGCTCACAGCAACCTCCAACTCCTGGGCTCAGGCTATCCTCCTGCCTCAGCCTCCCAAGTAGCTGGGACTACAGGCATGCGCTACTGTGCCCAGCTAATTTTTTCTATATATTTTTAGTCGGCCAATTAATTTCTTTCTATTTTTAGTAGAGACGGGGTCTCGCTCTTGCTCAGGCTGGTTTCGAACTCCTGACCTTGAGTGATCCGCCCACCTCAGCCTCCCAGAGTGCTAGGATTATAGGTGTGAGCCACCGCACCCAGCCTAGTTCTAGCACTCTTAATCAGTCAATTGATGGGTTCTATAAATGTAACTCTTGTATTATTAGTTTTAAAATTATAAAAGTATTCTTCACAGCAGGACATTTGTGCATGTGACACACTAGACATTTGTGACATTCTTGGTCTGGGATCTGCACATGGCACATAGTAGATAACTCTTAAAGGAGACAGTATCCAGTCAAATTCCTGCTTTCTGCTTGTGGAGCTGGTCCCTTATATGGAGACAGGAGCAAATGTTGGGCATTGCTGGAATTAAACTCTAGAAGAAAAACTCCATCTCTGTAGCGAGCTCTGTGTAGGCCAGCAAAAACAAAAGTGGAGGCCGGGCGCGGTGGCTCACACCTGTAATCCTAGCACTCTGGGAGGCCGAGGCGGGTGGATTGCTCGAGGTCAGGAGTTCAAAACCAGCCTCTGCAGACTTGCTTTTACAAGGAGGCTTTGCTCACACCTGTGATCCTAGCACTCTGGGAGGCCGAGGCGGGTGGATTGCTCGAGGTCAGGAGTTCAAAACCAGCCTGAACAAGAGCGAGACCCCGTCTCTACTATAAATAGAAAGAAAATTAATTGGCCAACTAATACATACAGAAAAAATTAGCCGGGCATGGTGGCGCATGCCTGTAGTCCCAGCTACTCGGGAGGCTGAGGCAGGAGGATTGCTTGAGCCCAGGAGTTTGAGGTTGCTGTGAGCTAGGCTGCCGCCATGGCACTCACTCTAGCCTGGGCAACAAAGTGAGACTCTGTCTCAAAAAAAAAAAAAAAAAAAGTGGAGTATGTGTGGTGGGCAGTTAGATGGGCAGCGCCAGGAGGATTGCCAGGAGGGGACAGGCTGAGCCCAGGGCCGCGCTGGAGGGGACTTGCCTGGTGGCTGGGTGAGGGGAAGGCTGGTGTGTGCCATGGTGACTTGGATCGTTTTCTTGTGCTTCTGATAAATGATTTGGTTTAGGGATATGTAAAGATAGAAGAGTGGTAATAAAAGATCTATTTTATTTTTCTTAAAGCAAAGTTTTGGCTATTGAAGCAGTTATGCTTTGGCTATTGAAGCAGTTGGGCTCTCTCGGGAGATAAAAGGATGTCATGTAGAGGACAGGTAAATGGTGTATTAGTGTGTGAACTGTATAGATGAGTGACAAAGAATCAGGATGTACTTTTTGGCTTTGTTTGGTATAAACTCCATTCTCTTTTATTGAGATTAGGAGTCTGTTTGGAATGGCTTTCCTCCAAACACATGACTTTGCCTTAAACAACACAAGGCCGGTACAAACCCAGTGATCTCATCACACAGGTTAGGAATAACGACAGGTCTTCAGCTGTCCTTAGAGAGTTCACAGTCTTACAGCCCATGTTGATGAAATGTTTAGATGCTTTGTATATGTCTTTAGTACATTTTATAAAAGGATAATTTGTAGGCCAAAGCCTTAAGAAATCTGGAAATCCCCGGGAGACAGATAATGAACTTAGGTGGTCATCCTCATTTGGTCTCTAGTGCAAGGCTCACTGAGGAAGCCTTTGTAAGATCCCTCTCAGGTGCTGGTCCAAATGTCTCCATAAGACACAGTGCCTCCCCTCATGGAGCTGACCATCTAGAGAGACGGTGTCACATAAACCATGTGATCTACATAGAGGGGTTTGCGAGATTCCAAGGAACCCAGAATTGGGTGCTTAACCTTGCTGGATGCTGCTGATTGGTATGTGTAGTCAAGTGCTGTGTGTTGTTTGGTGATGTCTTCCTTTCCTCTTATACTCTAGTATTCAATTCGAGCACTAGCATTGAGAGTTCTGCGGGAAATTCTGAGAAACCAGCCAGCAAGATTTAAAAACTATGCCGAGCTGACGATCATGAAGACTCTGGAAGCCCACAAAGACTCCCACAAGGAGGTGAGCCAGCCACGTGGCCAGGATGCTGAATAGACGGGCCTGGGAGTATAGCTGGGGTGTTGGGGGGAGAGGAGGCAGAATCAGGGCATAAGCTTTAGAGAGAGCCCCTTCCTTGGAACTCAGCTGTGTGCCACACAGAGAAAAGTTCCCATTGCCATCATTGTGACTGAGCAGCAGTGCAGTTCCCGGGCCAGTGCTATTTGTTAGGTTCCCAGCTCCCTGTCCCTGTGTCCTACAGGCTTGCCCTTTCCCGGAAGGCTGTTCCATGCCCAGGCTTCCCGTTGCTTGGTAGAAAGGAGGGGTCTGCCACTCCCTTCTGGCATTCAGCCTCTGGCAGCCTGCTGTGGGAGGTGTAGACTGGCCTTGGAATCACAGACATGCAAGTCCTAGAACCAGTACCTCCTTGCTCAGATCCATGGACAAGTCATTTCACCTTCTGAGCCTCCATTTCCTAGTGTATAAAATACGGACGGATATTATCACATAGTTTCTCAGGAGAATTAAATGAGATGGCCAGGGACATTCCAGCCCAGTGCTTGCCAACAGTGGATAGCATGCTGTAATTGGCCTTCCTCCCTCCCCAGCCCCTTTCTGCAAGATGAGGCTGAGCAGAGACAGCCCTGCCACTCCCATTTTGCTCACTCCTGAACATTTAAAATGCTAGCAAGCCATTCCTGCGGTTCCTGGGCTGTGGGAACTCAGCTGCCTGTTGGAGAGCAGGAAGAACAGGTCTCTGCCCTGCACACAAGCTGCAGATGGTGGGCACTAAGGGACACTTAGCCAGTTGCTTGTCAGATTGTCTAGCCCCTGTGGCTGACAAGGCCTTCAGATTGCTACAGAGAATGGGGAGGTGGCTGGAGCTGTCCTGAATACAATTGATCTCAGTGATGCCCTTCAATGAAAGTCTTTGTGTGGGGAACAGAAATATGTATTAGAACTTTAGAAAACTTAGCATGATAAATGATGGGTTGACCCCAAAGTCGTAAATAACCACTCGCTCAGGCCAATCTCTTGACTCTTCTGTGATTCTCTTGTGAGTGTGCTCATGGGTTAAGGGAACTGTGATTAGAGCAATTTTTCCATCTGCAAAAAGAATGAGACCCTAGATTGTATTTTTTCTTTGGCAGTTGTGCACCTGTTTAAGCAGTGACTAGTTTGACATCTTCAAATCTCCACCACGATTGTAGCCAGCAAGGGTAGGGGTCTCGTCCTTGGAAGGGCATCTCTGCACCTACTACTACTAGCACAGCACTCAGTACATAGATGAAAGATGTGTTTTCAGACTAATAACTGTGTTTCTGAAATCTGGCTTAGTTGCATGATGGTGGTAATCACTCATGTCTGAACAAAACACTTTCCATTTATAATGACTCATTTAAAAAATGTGATTACAAGATAAGTTAATATGATCAATGTAATGATTCTCCAGTGAGGAAGTTTCCTAGAGGAAACTTATGCACAGCAGTAGCTGGCAAAGCTGAGATGTGTGAGCCAGGTCTTGTGTCTCCTTTAACAGGCAGTTGGTCTGTGCTGATTTATTTTTTAACCATAATTGCTTCTCCTTAATGAGAATACATGATCAATAAATGAAATAAAATTGATGTTTTATATATAGATGATATCAGTTTTCATGAGGGAGCAAGTACTTAGAATGGGACATTAAGTGAAATGATTAGCCATCCACAGTATTTTAGCACTTACTTACTTTCCAGTTAAAAAATGTATATCTTTAAAGTGGGCTCCGTGATCTTTAAAACTTTGACAGTGGGCGCTAAGAAATATAAGTTAACAGAATTAAATACTTGATTTACTCTTTACTGTTTTCTTTTGGGATCTTGGTTTTTTTTCCTGCGAAATAAGAAATTTAGGAGAAAAATATGAGGGGAAAAGAGCAGAAAATATCTCTTGCGTAAAATAACTGTAGCAGCACTTAGTTAACTTGGAATTCCTGTGACCTGAGGGTCCCCACGCTGCTGTCACTGTTGAACTAACAGAGCAGGTGGAGGAGGTGTGTTCTGAGAGGAGTGCCCGTACTGGCAGGCGTTCCCTGCTTTGCATACTTCAAACTCACCTTGACTGGCTGCCCTTGAAGTTTCCTTATGAAACTTCACTCTGTCACTTTGCCAGAAGCTGCCGATTCAGACGTCAGTATGTTTAGGTTTTAGGTTGGGTTTTTCTTTTTCTTTTCCTTTAAAATTCTTCTCATCTTTCTCTTATTTTAACCAATCTGTCTCCATTCCTTGGTTCTGTTTTTTAGGGCAAAAGAGTTAGATACACATAATGTTTGTGTTGTAGGCGTCTTGTTAGCATATTAATATGACACATAATATTTCTCTAGTCTTCCATTTTCTTGTCATTACATTCAGTACATTTCTTTGAAAGGATCTAGAATGTTTCTAGACTCAGTTACTGTATTTGTCATACAAAGCCAGCCTATTTTCCTGTCTTGTCAGTTCTTCCAAAGTGTGTTTGTCCCAGAGTGAACTCTCTTGGAACTTTCTTCTCACAAGAAGTTAGTTGGTCTTATATTCCCAGACAAAACCCAGGCTTCAGCAGGAAAGGAAGAACAAGAGACCTGGCAGGTTAACCCACAGCTGCTCTGAGAGACCTTGGCACCAGATGTCTTCCTCTTGCTGGTGAAATGTTACCACACCAACACGCACGGTAGCTCTGGCTGTGGAACTGCAGCAAGGAAGTACAAGTTCTGGTAACACATTTCTGTAAACTGAAGTTTGCCATAAATGCTCTTAGGGAAGATGGATGAGGTAGATAACTTGTTTTCTCATCCTATAAGCAAGGGTCCATGTTCTTTTAAAAGAAGCAATATGTACAGAATATTTTTCTTGGATATTGAAAGTGTACCAGGTATTAAATCTATCTTAGACACCATCCATCCTAAGCTAACATAGATGTTCTGTACTAAGCAAGATAGGAGGATTTGAAGACCAGTTTAGAGTTTTCATTTCAAAAATTGGTGTTTGTCAGCTTAGACATAATGTTTTCATAGTCTCTAATTGAATAAGTAAGTCTCTTTCATTATCTAACTCCCTTTTTATATTTTTAGTAAATGAATTTTGCTATTGCGTTTCTAATGCCTCACTAGTGAAGTTACTGTGGTTTATGGTAGTGTTAGCATTTAACGAACACCTTAACCATTTCAGTACGGCACTCACTGGCTGTGAAACCTCGCCCACAGCCAGCACTCATAGTCTGCATGATAGTTTGTGCTGTGCATTGATGACGGATCCGTTTTCCTCTTGTGTGATGAGGAAAGCTTTAAAACACTGAAAGCAGGCAGCTTTACTTATAATGTAAATCAGAATAGGTAACATATACATATATGTTTTCATTACATTATTTTTAAATGTCCACAATTTTATTTTGATAAATGAAAAATTAGAAAAGTCATATCACGGCTGATGGCTAAAGTCGATGCTCGGCTGTGCGCGTGCATCTGTGGTTATCGACCATAGTCGACACTCATACTGAAATGGTGAAAAGGATAAGGCCTTGGGAGTGACCTTTTGAAATCTTGAGCCCATTTTCTGTTTTTCAGTATAACTTTGTTCATTTGAACTAACTCTTCTTATTTTAGAATTTTTAGTCTGTTTGAACTATACAGCATCCCTCCTTTTGTGATTAAGAAGAGGGGATTTAAAAAGAGAGCTGATACTATGCAGAAATTCTGGGGTCAGGATGAGGTATGAATCTTGAGGCAGAAAACCTGGTTTTCAGTGCAGCTTCTCCTGTTCTCTAGCTCTCTTGCCAGTTTCATTTTTATGTAACCCTGGATAAGCAGGACTGTTGTGAAAATCAAAGTTATATGATAGGGAAGTAAGCTTTTAAAACTGTCATATGATGCACCAATTTTGCTACATAAAACTTCTCAAATAGCCTTATTTGTTTCAGAAGCACCCATTTCTTGGGAAATAATTGATATGCTAATTATAAATTATTTTGTACACATTTAATGCAAGAATAGCTGTTGCTCCCAGTCATTGTGTCTTGTGTATAGTACCTATGAAAATGTTTTATTTAAACCTGAAGGAAGTACCATCTCTATTTCTTGAAGATACTCCATAATTGAGACTTTTCAATCATTAGAGTTAGCTTTTTCTGAACTTTGCCACAGTAGTGAATATTCAGTTACGTTTGCCTATTGAAAGAGGAAAATGTTAGCATCATATTGTGTCACTATATTGGGTCATCAAACAGTTCTTACCACATGTACAAAAGTCCTGATGTTTAAGGCATCAGAATCCAGCTTCAAGTGGTTTGGCTTGTTTGGGGAAGTTTGATTTTTACATAAATATAAAACAACCATTTTTATAACTCCAGGGGTTTTATTTTTAAATCATTACTAGTTAACTTTATATTGTATCACTTTAAGAAATTAGAAAAGCAAAATCATACCAAAGTTATTTTAAAAAGAAAAGAGAAATTCCTGCAACTAGCTATCTGGCTTCTGCTTTGCCCAGTGTGATGTGTCTTACCTGGTCCTTTCAACAAATGCTGTGGCCAGAGAGAAGCAGCAGTGTGCCAGAGATGGCATGTTATCAAGCTAATGTTCTGCTTCAAATACCAGTTAGAATCACTAGTTGAGCTCGTCTCAGCCAGACCCGCTGCACTCGGGAATGGCCCTTTGATGCCTCTCAGAGCAGCAGGCATGTGTGTGAGTGCGTTCTGGGGGGCAGTACACTGCGTGAACCTGGGGAAATGACTTCACTCTCCGGACCTTGGTTTTTCCTTATCTGTTAGCCCAGGGAATGGACTAGATGATTATCTGTGTTTCATCTAGCTTAGAAGTTGCTATTGAGTAACAAACCTAAATCCTCATAGATTCTAAATCTGCAGTTTTCTGTGGGCCCAACTTTGGGATGTGACCAGAAGCCCCCTTTCCTTTGTAAGTTTTTGCTTTTTAATAAAAAGACAAAACCAAAAACCTATATGGCTTCATAGAGAGGTTCCAAGTTGTTGAGCCAGCAGTCTGACACTAATAG